ATGAAAACGATACACCCACAGATTTCTCAACGAAAGTCACTTCTGAAGCCATAGCAGACGAAGTTCGACGCCGAATGTGCGCCAATAATTTTCAAATGACATCGATTAATACAAATCGCATAAAATTGACCTCAGATGTGGGGGTTTTCACCCTACGCATATATGCAAAGAGGTGGAACATTTTGAATTTAAAGTTTTTTTTTCGCCCGCAGTGGTTTTGCAGAAAAATACATCGTGCCTCTAGCCGCTGGCACTTCTGAAGCCATAACAGACGAAGTTCAAAGCCGAATGTGCGCCAATATTTTTCAAAAGAGATCGATTAAAAGAAATCGCAAAGAATGACGGCAGATGAGGGTGGTTTTCAGTCCACGCGTATATGCAAAGAAGTGCAGTATTTTGACGTCAAAGTTTTTATTTCGCCCGCAGGGGTTTTACAGTAAAATGCATTGTGCCCCTAGCCGCTTGCTGTGTCTCGCGTAAACCGGTAACAAAGCGTGAATCGGTGATGATCAGTGACCTTGGAATTTGGCTCACTTAAACAAAATGCTGTGGGCATCATGTCACTGAAAGGTGCAGATGGATTAGGCTAACTCCCCTAAAATATTACAGCTTCGGGAACCTTATAGTTTCGGCAAAAATAATTTGGGAGTGCTTCTGAGGACCGGAGCAAAAATGCTCGCTCTTGATTGGTGGTTGCAGGGCGGGAGACGGAGTCTACGGGGTTGCCGGGGTAGGTCTCGTGGATTTTATCGGCCATTTGGGCTAACTGCTCCAAGCTGTGGTTATCAACGAAAGCGCTGCTGACGGGGGGAAGTTTGTCGAGCCATAGTTGGGCCATGATTTCCACCGCTAGCTTACGGCCGCAGAGGAGACTGTGCATGTGACGAAGCAATTGTGATGGCAATCTGTCACCAAGTTCGACAGTGGTGAATAAATCCCGTAGCATTTTGTTTTCGGACTTCCCTGTCCTACTGATGACGGTCACTCGAAGGGCGTCATAGGGATTTTCCGTAGGAATATCTTCCAACAGATCTTCCACTTCTGTTGCTACATCACAAGGAAGATGCTGGACAACATAGGAAAACCGGGTGACTTGGGAAGTGATGCGTCGGGTGGTAAAAACGGCCTCCACCTGGTGAAACTATACCCTGGGATTGCGGGGATTATAGTCTAGTAAACGTATGCTAATTGCATTCTCGACTAAATCCGATGAATCGAAGTGTGCCTCTATAATTACCGGGCAAAAGAAAAAATACGACGACTTGAAAGGAATAGTATCTATTTCTTTGGCGTGTACTTCTGGTGAAGTAGCCTTTAGGGTGTCCAGACCACTACAGATTTGGTGAGCATGAGTCGATTCTAGAAAGGTCTTGATATTTCCTAATATGCTCCTTTTTAGGTCTTAGTTTTTCCACCCGGTCATTATAGATGCACACTTTGAAGTGTGTATCGATCGGTCCACCTGATTTAGTCGAGCATACGATTAGGATCCGTTTACCAGACTAATCCCTCCAACCCCAGGGTGTAGTTTTATCAAGTCGAGGCTGTTTGGACCACCCGACGTATTACTTCTCAAGCCACCCGTTTTTCTTATGTCGTCTAACATCTTCCTGACGATGTAGCAACAGAAATAGATTTTTAGGAATACATCCCCAAAGAAAATTCCTATGGCACTTCAAGCGGCTGTCATTAGTAGGACAGGCAAGTACCAAAATAAGGTGCTTGGGGATTTATTCGACACAATCGAAATTGGCAATAAATCGCCACCGCAACTACGCCGTATGTGCAGTATCCTCTGCGGGCGTAAGCTGGTGGCAGAAGTCATGACACAACTCTAGCTTGATAAGCTTCCACCCTCCATGTCTCGCGTCATCAGTTCATTCTCTGATGACCACAGACTGGAACAGCTAGCTAACATGGCGAAAAAATTCAGGAGACCTGCCCCGTTAGCTCCGCCTCTCCCCCTAAACCCGACACTTCCGCAGTTTCCGACCCAATGCTTTCTGCCACCTCGCAACTGCAGACAAGATTTGATATCTTAACTGATCGTCTACAACGGCTGAAAACCAACAAGCATCAACCACATTCATATCGATCGTTGTCGCGTTTCCGTCCCTCTTGCTGCTGGCATAACCCATCTTTCGGTCCCAAAGCACGCAAACGCCAACTTCCTTGTTCCTTCAAACCGTGTTTCAACAGCCCTTTAAACACCCCGGTTTGTCAGCGACGGCGACGACTGTCTGTGGTCCTTCTCGCACTACTCGCCTATCTCACATCACCGATCGATCAAGTGGTCTATGTTCCCTCTTAGATACGGGAGCTGAAGTTAGTGTGCTACCACATAAGAATCCGCTTCCTGACTCCGCTTCTAATTCGTCACAAGCATCTACCGGTACCCACATCGCTACCAACGACGAACTATTTAAAAAAACAACTCTTAGTGAGTCTGTTCCACCTCTTTATTATTGCATATTCAATTTAGCGTTGTTATTCTTATTTCTTTCCCGCACACTCCTCGTAAACTGATGTCGTGTGTTTCATAGAGTTAGAAGCGAGAACGAGTTCCGGAGGATTGCAGTCATCGTATCATTATCTAAAAAGGCTGCTCTTACATTTGTCGTATCACAACTACTTCTCATCGTCATAGTAAATTCCAACTGCAAAAACTGCGTACGATGTACAAGCCTTTTAGCTGCTACAGTTTCGTTTTTCCGTAGTCTGAAGTGTTGGGGTCGAGAGGAGTGCATTGGAGCCCGTAGCTGATAAAATTGGTGCATAAACACAGGGATATCAGCGGACTTTTTCACTGGGCAGATTAAGAAGGGAAAGATTTGTTCAGCTGTAGCATCCTTTCGGTGCCCAACTGCTATGCCACCAGAAGGAAGCACGAGGGCTGGGGTACTGCCACTTTACTTAAGGCTAGACAGGGGAAGTCAAGACGCAGATGTCGGGCTCGAACCACGAACCTTCCGGTCATCAAATTAGCGCCCTAGCCATTGATTCCTCTCGCTTTGCACTGCAAGCAATGGCCTGGATAGATGCGCTCGACTAGGCCATCAATGTCCATGTCTCCAACCATTGTTGTTGTCCCCACTTTGGGTCCCTAGTCAAGGAGACGACAATGAGCAATACATCTGAGTTTGCTGATATTTACTCTCATTTCGCTGTCAAGTTTGTGCTTGACCTCCGCTGGTTCTTCTGCTCTTTTCGCGTGGTTGTGCGAAATGGGCCATCTGAGGAATTCGGTCGATCGGCATACGAAACACGTAACCAAGCCAGCGCAACTTGTGGGGCGTGATCAGCTCATCTATCATAAGTGAGCGTTTTTCTTCCGTAAACCATTTGGCGTACTTTGATATTACTGACCTGATGTTTCAACCAGACTCAGGCAATGATCCGTTCTCAGCTCGCAGACGCCGAGTTTCTGAGTCGTATGATATACATTTGGAGCGCACCGCAACATTATAAACTCAATCGTTTACGTATAGGGTGATTTCACATTCGTGTCACAGATAATGCAGATTGACAAGAAATCCTGTCAACTGTAACACCCTTCCGGTGCCTAGCTGCCACGCTACCCGGAGGAAGCACGAAGGTTGGGTTAATGCTAGGTTGCCTAAGCCTAGACAGGGGTAGTCGAGACAGAGGTCGGGTTCGAACCACGGACCTTCCGGTAGTGAAGTCGCTGTCTAACCACTTGAGATATCCTAGCCTTCCGAATCGGACGAGAATGTCGTCCTCGGTTAGACCACAGGGTCTGATGCTGAGCCAATGCTCTGAAAGAAATTCGACCCCACAGGTATTCGGGACCAGCAATGAAGCTTAGATGATCACATTGACGAATGTGAAGAAGTGCCATATAACGATCTTGCTTGACACTGTTTGACGTAATGAACTCATGCGACAGAATACAATAGACAGCGGCACATGGGGCACGTGACCAAGCCAGCGCAACCTATGCAGTGTGCTGAATTCGTTTATTGTGGACGAAGTGTTTCTCCCGAACGCTGTTACATGTCATTTAGCATTACTGACCCGACGTTCCCACCAGATTGAGGCAATGTTCTGAAGACATCGATGGTCAAACACTGAAGGTCTTTTGACGTCCTCAGCGCTTAGCGACCATGTTTCCGACCCGTATAGTAATATAGAACGCACCCCGGCATTGTAAACTCGACCCTCAACGGATAAGTTGATTTCACGTCTACACCACAGGTGATGCACGTTCACAATAGCTGCTCTGGCCTTCCCGGTCTGAATAGAACTATAATCTTTCGCAAGACCACTGCGACTGACACAGTTCACCAGGTGGAACAATTGTCTACTACCTCAATCAACTCATCCGCAAGTATGAAGTTAGGATTCGAACCCACCAAGTCTCACACCAGCACTCTACACTTTGCAGGTGTGAAGGGCATGCTAAACCGTGGGGTGGAATTATTTGGATAATTTTATATTCTTTGCATTACATTTGCGTCAGCTCCAAGAAGAACTATGTCGTCTGCGTACTTGGTATCTGTGAGCGAACGTCCAGGGCGAAACCCAGCCCCTCAGGCATTAGAGGCTGATAGTGAGTCTTCCATACTCGCTTCATTGACGAAGTTGAAGGGGAACGGTGAAAGAGAACAGCCTCGCCTGACACCACTTGATGTAGTGAACTCAGACGAGAGCTTCTCGTAGGTCTTCACATATCCGCGGAAGTTGGTGTACAGCACCTTATAGATGGCCAATAATTTATGGTGTACGCCTTTGCTCCATAGACAATATCATAGTGCCTGACGGTCCACAGAGTCAAAGGGATCTTTCAAGCCAAGGAGGACGACCGTTGTTGGACGCTGGAAACAGTGTTACGGTTCCAGAATATGTGGGAGGGTAAGAACAGGATCGATGCACCCTCTTGCAGGACGGAGCCCAGTTTCGTTTGCACGGATCTGCCTCTTCTTGTGTTCAGCCAACCTTTGGAGGGTATGACCAGAGATATCCTTCAGTGTTACAGCTAGCCGGCTGATTCTGTGATGGTATTCACGCAGCGTTCGCTTATCCTTCTTGAAGGGAGGTATAACTGTCGAAATGCTCGTCTGCAGGGGCCTTCTCTTTGCTCCATATCGCACCAATGAACCCTATCAGATGGGTCACCAGGGATTCTTCACCTTTTTTGAAGTGGGTTATCTCCACTATCTGCACTATCTCCAGAGGCTGCGCTATAGGAGGCCGAGTAAACAGTTTTTCGAAGTGTTCGGCCCATTTTTCCAGTCGAAGCCTTTGTGAGTGATTTAACGAGCTGCCTTTTTCACTTACCGTTTCACTGACCGTTTTTGTCCTAGGGTCAGTCGATAGTATTAGTTTATATAGGGCAAGTTTGTTTCCAGTAGCAAAAGCCTGTTTCCTCTCCCGAGGATTCGATGTCCACCAAAGCTCTCGGTCTCTCCTTAGGCTCTACGCTATTTGGTGTTTGAGGGGTTTGTATGCACCGTCGTACTCGGTGCCTGCTGGTACGAACTTCCTGGAATCAATCATCACTCGAATTTTCTATGCCGCTAGCCTAGCTCCTTTCACATTCTGTCATGCTTCAACCACATTCCCACTACTAGTGCAGTATTGGTTTACTGTAGGCAGTTGTTTGAGCTAGTTCAGCTCAGTACTGCCGAGCTATGGTAGTTATTCAAAGATGATAGATTGGCATGCTTCTTTCTGACTTGCGTAAGCCTGTAGAGAGGCGAACTGTCAGGCCTGCACGCACCATGGCGTGATTGGAATCAAGTTGTGTGCCAGGGAAGGAACAGCAGTCTTCATTTGTAGCTCCACCAGTGGCTGATGGCCACGTGGCCCCAATTGGTCCATGGTTGATTTGCAGTTGGTGGCCGCCAGGTTACGCGATTCGAATGTTTATGCTGAAAGCTTGTACTTGCCAGAAACAGTTCATGATCAACAGTCGACCTCCTATATTTGCGTGACGAGCATCGACTCCGAATCGGCCGCCCAAATGTGATTTCAAGGAGCTCACACGACTGACTTTGGCATTCATTTCGCCCGAGAGACCACAATGTCAGTGCTTCTTGCCTGACGAATGAGCCCGAATAACTCTCGATAGAAAGTATATTTCTCAGCATCAGAACTGCAGTTCGTTGCTGTCTAGCCCGATACAATAAACAGCCACGTCATTTTATACCGACAGGCATTGAGATTGATTGAGCTGGATGACCGGACGGTGCAAAGACGACTGTTCACTCGTACCCACTACAGTAAAGTGCGTTCAACTCTGCGGCTGAATGCGAATTCCGTTCCGTATATTTTCCGCGGATCATCGCTCCTTCATCACCGGACACAAGAAGGGAGAATTGCGGAGGAGGTGAGCTCGTCCTCGACTTTCTGGGATGCATGAACGAACTTGAGTCTTGCATGCATGTTTCGGAGATACAACATACATCAATTTTAAGGGGCCTACTCTTCTTCCTCCGGGAGAAGTTTGTCGCAAAGTAGTGGTAGGTGAGTTGCGTTCTTTTTCTGTTTTCGTTTTGACGGCCATCTTACTCCTAACAAATGTGCAATAAAGTGGTTGAAGATGAACCCAAAAATACAGCTCGTACATTTAGTATCCACGGCCATATTCATACGTTTTTTACTCCCTATTTCAGTCCTCCACATTCGCGAGATTTCTGGAATGAGTGGCGCACTGCAAAGGACCCTCGAGTTTTTAGCAGCCGTGTGTTTGTACGTATTCTTGTTCTATTCAATCTTTGCTGTTTACTACACTTCGCCTTTGGTTCGCGGAACTCCTCTCGTCCCTCTGAATGTCTCACATCTCTCCACGCATTTGATATTCATGGTTACGGATGGCATGCGAGCAGATAAACTTTTCGGATCCCAGTTGAAGTACACTCCATTTATCAGGTTAGTCTTGTGCTGCATGTGGCGTTTTTACAATTTTTTTCACTAGCTTATCCCAGCGACCGGCAAACGGTGTACAGGAACCGAAGCGTTATTACTACATCATCATTCCCGACAGCACAACATATTTGTCCAACACCCATGGTTGGCCGCCGTATAACTTAAGTTCATTTGAAAACCTTTTTCGTGATTTCGTAGGATCCTGGCGCTAGCCGACCACACTAATTCCAAGGTGCATATACTTCCAAACATTCCGTCAAACAATCTGGGTAAACACTGGCCTCATGAGAGCCATTGAAATCGATTGGTATCGATATCTTGCAGCGTCTCCAAACATGCATATGAGGGATCGCGTTTACCCCTTACTAGGAGGCGAGTCGTACCTACTTTTCGTGATCGCTCACATACCCCTCTGTCGGGTTAAAGGTTGCCCACCTCTCTGGTTGTGCCATTTTTGGGTTGGTCACGGAAAACAACACTTCGGTAGACAATCGCCCGATGTACGCAACACATGACCAAACCATTATGACTGCTCGTAGCCGTTATGTGCTTTGTTAAGAGTAAACTGTGTTCAGCACGAAACGAATAATGAATCGCATCTTTATATCGGATCCACTTTTATGGGACGAGTAGGTTTGATGTTCAGCAAGGTTGTTGTTGCCACGTACGAAAGTGAAGATACAAGAGTGTGTGTAGGTGAATAAGAACCGGCAAAAATTAAAGATGGTGGTGATTTCTGAAGCGGCAATCTCCGTCGTCACGAAGAGACTGGACCTTACAGCGGTCTGAGGGTTTGTGCACCTCATCGACCCACTGAGCTATAATGAGAGGTGCCCCTGCGGCATTCACAGGGTCTCTCATACCAGGTTGGTAAATAGTTAGAGGTCTGACAAACAATCTCCTGGTCCTTTGGGTTTGGGGTTGGAACATGTGGCGACTTGTTCCGTAGAAATGGTAACGTAACAATTGTGAGTTTCTAATTTCAAATGTAATTACTTTAGTCGCCTTCATACCAGTACGGCAACACTGGTGTTTAATTGTCGTACAACTGTCAATTTAGGATCTGAATTGGAGAGAGAGGAAGGGGGAAAGACCTTAGTTGTAGGTTATGACAAATACCGGAGCTGTCCACAACAACCACATCTTGCAACATCTGCAGCCATGCACAGAGAGGGTTCTTTGAACCTTAGCGTGGAAAGCGGACAGCACCGACCACATGTAGACTTTGTAGTCGTCCTCTGTCCCTTCTGTCTCGTCATCCTTAGCCCTCCTTCTGGGATACAATCGGTCGAAGTTTTCCTAACCTTGGCAACAACAGAATGCGATGTGATAGAAATATCGGCTTTGAAAGGAGCTAGATTGAGTATGTATCCACATTTTTTCTCATTTCCCACTGTTTCACGGAGCGGATTTTTCAATGTAAACTCACACCGGTAGTTATTTTGAGCAGCTAACCAGTGAAAAGTAGCCGGTACATCATACAGTTTGGACTCATGTCATCGTGAATTTTAACAGATCGTTAACGTAGCATAATAGGTCATGAACAAACCACTCAACGGAAAAGGTCCCCTCTGGGTAGATACAATCATTTGAAAATTGACATGGGAGGCTCAACTGGATCCCAGCTGAATCCACTATTTAGGATATGTTTGAGCTGAGAGTCTATTGTTAACAATAATTTGGTTTTGAAACTGAGCGTAGAAGATAGAACTACCAACTCGGGGACTGTGCTTACTTGGGAAGCCCCTAGAACGATGAAACTAGTTGTGCTTTGTCGAAGAGTTTTCCGTAACCTTAAGAACAGTATTTTGTCAACAAAAGCTCTCCCGTTCCGCAGATTGTTCAACTTCCGCTACACCAATAGTAAAAATGTGGCTGACTGGTTGATTTTCAGATTCTCTACAGGTGTCTTAAGCCAATGGTTGTACTGTCAGCCAATGATCACCTCGCACTGGCAAACCGTCGATTTATCGTTTGTTTGTGTGCTTTCTCAGGGTGGAAGGAGTTTGCTTTGGCTTGGTATTGCACTGTAGTCAGGTTCTTATCATTACTCGCGAGTTAACCAAGTGGGGGTGCTGTCATTCTATCTCATCGTCTTGGTTTTATTGTCCGACCAGGGTATGCGCTGCAGGCAAAAGTTATCCGTGTAATACCACATGTTTGGTTTAATTCAACATATAAACCGCAGCCTAGCCACGTTACTACTACTTTTATTAGTACTTTTCAGAGCCTGTGACATGTAATTTTAAGCGCACATTCTCTCCCAAAGGATAAATTGAATTTATCGCACTCATGGTTGACTCTATGTTCTACACAATAACGAAACATATTCCCCGACTTCTTTTTGAAGGAACATACTGCTCAACAAGGGGGCTTGGGGCTTGTCTCACACTCGTGTCCCAACAGAGTCCAGGCCTGGCCACATTGCTATGCTTGGTGGATTTTACGAAGATGTTGCTTCCATCACAAAAGGTTTGTCAGCGTATCCATTTTCATTATTCTGTTATTATGGATTAACTAAAATGTCTCTGATTTATTTTAATCGAAATTCGGAAGCCGACATCCACGGTGTCGACAATTGAAGCTCATTTCTGGTGTTGTGGCAATTTAATTCTCCCCTAGAAAGGCCACTTATTATCGGTTTCAAAAAGTTTCTTCAGCAATCAGGTTCCTCGGGAAAAGCATTTTTATTCGATTTCTTCTTTTGGTTTCTTCAGTTTCGGACAACCATATTTCTCGCTTGGCAGGCATTCTTTGTGGCACATATAAGAATGTAACACAGTGAATGGACGAGTTACCCCGGTGATACTGCACCCAGTTACGGCTTCAGCTCCTCACCAAAGTGTATTACAGTGGTGCTTCTAAATAGTCATTCGTTGAGCTGTTCGTCGGTGGCTTAGCAGCTCACTCGAGTTTCTGACAGTAGCTGTTCGTCGGTGGCTTAGGAGCTCACTAATTCCGTTCTTGTCAGGAATCACGGGACACTTGCCGGTTCGTCCCCGCCAAACAATTTGTTTTTTTTTCGGAAGGGACATAATAAGTTTATACTTCGGAGCACGTATATCCTAACTCGTCTGTGTTCCAACCAGGGTTATTTCCCTAGCCAAGTTGGGCTAAGAAGGTGTTGATTCCGGTTATTCATGGTGCAACCCAGTGTCTAATAGTCTATAATTTTTAGTCGAGAGTTTCACCAAGCATTTCCTGAACAAGGCTCTTGCTGTCTCGTCAGTCCCCGATTGTATACCCTCTTGACCTACATGGTCAATAACGTATGATTGCCCGCAATTACACTAGTACCGCACCGATGTAAATCTGCTGGCTATCTCTCATCATCCTCTCAGTCTGATTGATGATGTAAGGAAGAAAGCCCTGTGCCACGAAGTCGTTCATTAGAAAACACCAATCGACCACCAGTAGTATCCGCCGTAACAGTGGTATCCCATACTATCTCGCGGCACCAGATATGTTTTAGACAAATCCTACTTTGTCCTGCTTCTAATAGAGTACAGAGCTTTTATGTCCCTTATTTATGAGACTCATTTTCCCCCATACTCTTCTATGACTAACTAGTTTTCGCGTTGGTTTTCCCGGTGTCACTTACGAAATCCTTACTCAGACAGGCTGTCTGTTGGCTGCATCGTTTAATTTCAGTTTTACACTTTGTGCTTGTCACTGTTTTCACAGTGGGCTCTTTTGTTAAATACCGCTTTTCCTCTTCATTGCGTTGTATCACACCCGTTTTGTCGGTCCTTTTTACCAGGATGGCAAGCAAATGCCGTGGAATTCGATTCCATACTCAATCGTTCTCAGCGCGCTTGGGCTTGGGGTACACATGAAGTAGTTCAAGCTTTCGGTTTGAACACTGTGAATCTCGTGATGGCCAAGAGCTCCCCCAGTGAGTTGAGTGACTTGGTCAAGCATAGCATCTCGGATATCGACCGCTGGACGGTAGACCAGTTCTTGGTAGGTTGTACTGTTGTGGTGCTCTGCCTGTGCTTTTGCCTTGATTCTCGTGTTTTTGATTCTGTCGTGACCCCATAATTTGTCCCGTGACATAGCAGCATAACAATATTAACGTTTTATACATTTTCGCCCAATACCATGGTCTGGATCAAACACCTCCCTTCGGATCGTGGAATTTTTCAAATAGCAATACGCATTAATCACCTACTTTTAAGCGCTCATGCTTCGACCACAACCCTTTGCGCGTGCGCTTAAGTCCGGTTACAATGGCGTTTGATATTGGCGGATCTAGCCGCAGTGAACTTAATAACGACGTCACTAAATCACAATTAGGGGGGCGAGATGGCCCAAGTGGTTAGGGCGCGAACTTACTGGCCGGAAGGTCTGTGGTTCGAACCCGACCTCCGTCTCTCGACTTCCCTTGTCTAGGCTTGGGCAACCTGGCTGTATCCCAGCCCCTGTACAACCCTCGGGCGGCATGGCAGTTAGACACCGAAAGGGCGCTACAGCTGAACGAAATCAAAATTAACGCGGGATTGCACCATTTCGAACGCGCAGATAGCGCTCACACAACACACACATAGACCGGACGAACTGTTGCACTATGCTGCATAGCTATCTCTTCCGAATCTTCAAGTCAGTGAACGAAAACTGAGCACTATTATATAGCCTGTGTAGACATCATGCGAAAAGTTCAAAGCCAAAACACAGTTTAGTGGAATAAGATGTTTATGCTCCGATGTTTCGGGTACGATGGGCAACCTTTTCATTTTTTAAAGATCGACTGAATACCGATCAAGTTTAGTCCACTAGTTAGTATTGCTGATGTTGATTACAAATATACTTTCTCTACTGATCAAAAGAGCTATAACTGTTGCAGATAAACTAATTAGTCGGATTCCGGACTTTCCAATCGCTCTCCTCAGCCTGCTCCTATTACTTAAAACAAATAACCAAACGTTTATCGGTGCTCAAAACCGGCAAACTCGTTTTTCCACTGTGTTTTGTACTTTATTTTGCACGTATCAGTGGACTATCCGTGTGAGAAAACAATTTTCATTTCATTCTGGTGTAAGTCTTTGATAGTTTTACCGTGGTTGCTTTCTATCTCTCCTCTAAATTTCTAGGCCGAGTTGCACAATAAAGAGACTGGGTTCTTCGCTACATTATCCACACCGACCGACCAATCTTCAACCCTGCGCAAAGGCCATGTGGCCTTCTTGCATTTGGATGCGGCTGATCTTGTGGGACACGCTTTTAAACCAAATTCGAATCAATATGTCGAGCTACTGCGTCATCTGGATCGCTCCGTAGAAGAGGTAGTCCGCGAAGTTGAAAAGGCTTCTGAGGGTTTGAATGTGACGGTAGCCTTTATCCTCACTGCGGATCACGGAATGACCGACTGGGGTGAGTTTTAGCTTTTTTGCCTACTACCCTGTAGTTGTCCGTTGCCTATGAGTTTTTAGGCTGCTACCACATCACACCTCTCGAGAGCAGAATCCACCTAATTTGTTCTTGTATCACGTTTCTGTCATGATAGGTATTAGACGATGCAGAATAGTCATCATGCTTGAGCACTCGTATTGCATCGTGATGGTATGCACTTCTGAACTTTGTTAACCATTTACCACGAATCGGTGGGTTTTCTGTCATAACTTCACAGCCCCGTTCGAGGAAACACGTTGCGATTATTTTCGACCTCACACCGTGGATTCAGTTGTCCTCCCTCGTGTACTTCGCTCTCGAGATTTCCGTGAAACTGGATTCGTTCATCAACGGACTCTTTAACTTAGTTCAGTTTTTGGAAGCGATCCATTCTTTGGATGTTAGCTGACAGGTTCACAAAGTTTTTATCCTCTGAAAAAGTTGTGTTTCTCCGGGAACCATCCAATCACAGGCTCGAGTAGTCAGATTTGTGGGCACCTAGCAAGCGAGTGAATCTGATCAACTTCAACAATCGGATAGGCAGGTCTGATCACACTTACAATGGTTCAAAGACTCATTTTCCTCCTTCTGTAGAGACCATCTGGGTGGATTAAAGATAATCGTTCAGCCGTAACACCCTTTGGGTGCCTGGCTGTCATGCCACCCGAAGGAAGCGCGCGAGGACTGGGTTACTGCCAGGGTTCCCAAGCCTAGACAAGGGAAGTCGAGAGGCAGAGGCCGGGTTTGAACCACGGACCTTCCGGTCCGTAAATTCGCGCTCCAACCCCTGAGCCGAAGTCGAGAGGCAGAGGTCGGGTTTGAACCACGGACCTTCCGGTCAGTAAATTCGTGCTCTAACCACTGAGCCATATAGCTTATAGAACGTCGCACATATTTCCTCAACTTCTTGCAAATGAAGGAACTTCAACCGACTTATGTTCGCTTAATAAGCTGTCTCAGAGATTTCTAGATGGAATTACCTGAGGTATCACAATGGAAAAAGGGGATAATAAATTGCTTATGGTGCAGCTCTGGATATCTGTCGCAAACCTCGAAAAAGGCACAAGGAACTGCGGGGTTTTCCAAAGCTGGACAAGAGCAGTCGAAAGCCAGATTTAGGTTCGAACCGCAGACCTTGAGGCCACCAGCTCCATACATTAATCGTTTAGCTTTCTTGAGCTCCGTCCTTCAGTAGCTTGATTAGGCTCAGACTCCCTAAACGAAGGGTCCGTAGTCCTCACTCAGCCCTGGATATCGATTGTCATTCTCTGGTTTGGGATAGCGTTGCTGTATATCGTACTCTGTGCTTCTTTCTGGTTGTAGAGCAGTTGCGAACCAGATAGCTGCTAAAACTGAGCAAATTGTAGTAAAAATAAAAAATAAATCATTCGGCGCCTAGCTGCCATGCTACTCGAAGGAAGCATGAGGACTGGGATACTGCCAGGTTGCCCAAGTCTAGACAGGGGAAGTCGAGAGGCAGAGGTCTGGTTCGAACCACGGACTTTCCGGTCAGTAAATTTGCGCTCTAACCACTTGAGCCATCTCGAAAAGTGTGATACAAGGATGATTTTCTAAGTGCTTTACTTTTAGAAGCCCAGGAACAAATGAATAGCGCTTCTAACTACCGCCGGATAAGTAGGCGTGAAATGAAGTGCTTTGTAAAATCGTCGTGAAACTCCACAACATTGTCCAAGTATTTCGATCCAACTATCAAGTCAGTACTTTCTTCTGTCATAGGGAACACGAGAGTTTTGATTGAAACTGAAGTCTACATAATATAAACGTCTGGCGTGGGATCCAAACCCGTGGCCTCATGTCTGATGACCCTGCGCACCTGGGACCCCCTGAGTTCATTCTTATGACAACACCGTTGTTTGTCTACCGGAGCCGAGTTGGAATCACTCCCATTCTGTAACATGTACCCGCATCCTTTTCCGTTGTGCACTGATTTTGTTCGATACCATATCATTACTGCACAAAATTAGTCAGAGCTTGTTGCAAATCCATCTAGTGAGCTCCTGCACCTTTCGACAGCACCGGAATACTGACATTACTGATGGGAGCACTAACAGCTCCGACTTTAAAAGGTTGATAACTTACTATATGTCGCGCCTGTTCTGTACCCCACTCAGGTCAGCACAGCGGTGTCACGTGAAAACTCAACCTTCAGATGTCTCACACTGCTCACTGGCTTTTTGGTCACCAAAGGAGAGAGTGTAGTAAATTTGGTTGGGGTAACTAATGGACGGTTTGCCTCCTCAAAACTAGAAAGTCCCAGATTCATTCTTCGTCCCTGAATGCCATGACTCACTTACACGGTAGTTTGGCAAGAGGTTGCAGTATCTCTTGTTCAACAATGATTTCTATTCAATCGTGTTTACTGATTCTCAGAAGGACTGTTTGTTGTCCCTTTTGACCGTTGTGGTGGTGAGTGAAAAATTGAGCAAAAAATGAAATGCAATTCTTCGACTGTTGCACCGTTTCTGTGCAATAGTTACCACTCAACCCGAACGAAGCACATGAGCTGGCATATTGCCATGTTTCCCCAGCTTAGATGGGAGCAGTCGAGTTGCATAGGTGCGCTTCGAACCACGGACGTTCCCGTCATTAAGTTTGTGTGTTAGCCGTTGAGTTATCCCGAACGCATACTGGGTGATCCATTCGTTTGACCCTTATTTATTGTTGTCTATCAACTGCTACCAGTCTAATTCTACCATCCCGCTAAGCAGAATAGCTACAGTTATTGCCTCTTCATGGATGGCCCGCCTTCAGTCGGTGCTCCGATCGCCGTAAAATGTAGCAGTTCCAGCTAACACAACATACCAACCTGTAAAATGATGGTTTCTCCTCACGTGACAATTAAAAAAAACAAGCACAGGTACAAGACCGGGTCACTGGGATTCTGGATCTACCGTAAAGGAGTTCATTTTATAATGTACCTCCCAAGATTCACTCAGCCTATGCGCAAATCATGTTCGAACCCAGCGGAACCTGAATCGATTACCAGAAGTTCCGTTAAAAAAATAGTTGATTATCTTGCTACACGTGCGCTACTTACTTGTGTCTATGTCCTCGATCATTTTGAGGCTCTACAACTTTCGTTCCAGTTTGATACCACTTTCGGACTGAACAAGTACTTTGATCTCGAGACAGCCATTTTGCACCTGTTCTCTCCTCGAAGAAGAGATTTACGGTCTTTGTTAAATCATAGAAAAGAGGAGAGAACGACCCAGTTCAAGGCGGTAAGAAAGGAAGGGGACTCTGCCTAATACCTTTAGAAAAAGTGCCCACACAACACTGAAGCAGGCACATGTGAGCACCCTACTAGAGGAAGACGACCCGACCTCCCTTACGACTCTCACCCAACACAAGCCCCTCATAAAACTCCCGATGGAGGATTACACTTTGTAGGCGTCACACACACTAAAGTAATGGACCCATTCCGATATCCCATCTAAATTAGACTGTGCTAATTAGATATGCGTCGTGTTTATATTTTAGTTATTTTGTAAATAGTATTTCAATACTACGATACACGGTCCGTTGAAATGTGCATGATAACGGAGTGAGTGGAATAGCGGAAACAGCCTTGATCGGACCCAATTGTTGTGGGAAAAGGCGCCTGAACTTTGGTGCCGAACTAAGGAGCATAGCGTGTATTTGCACTCTCTCACAATTATCACAGACAGTTTAACAACAGTGTTCAACATTGATGCTTTTCCGTCGTATAATGCGTGGTTATATGTGGGCTGGGATACTGTCAGGGAGTGCACACCTAGATAGGAGGGTGATTGGGTTCCTCAAACAAAGCATTTGGCTCAAAAGCCTAACCCCAAGGCAGCGGTGTTTGGTGGGAAATGCAAGTGCATTACCGTTTCTACGGGACAAGTTGGCAACATGGAGGACCAGGAGACTATGTTTGTCAGACCTCTAACCACTGACCAACCTGGTATGTGAGAGTCTGTGGGTGCCGCAGGGACACCCTACCCTAAGTATACCTTAATGAGTCACAGAGGCACACAAACCTTCATACCACGGTGAGGTCTAGTCCTTTTCAGGATCTGTAGGCTTTCTACTTTTTTTATGATACTGTAGGAAGGACTAGGGGGATGCGGTCACATGGCGTGATGGCCTCACTATGGAACGTTGAGTTGCATGGTATTCCTGAATGTTGTGCACAGCCATACCATTATAGTAGAGGCAGACTATTCACAAGGAAGGACATTAAATGGAATAGTTACCGTGTTAGCCTTAGGAGCAGCTCACCATCCTCATCACTTTAATCTCGACTTTACTCGCATAGCCATAGCCTTCCACATTTTCTGCAATATGCACCCTCAGAGTTTCAAATGTATAATCGTTTGCTGCAACCTAACATTTGAACTGTCCGGTCGTCACTTTGTTTGACCGTTTCATCCTACGATCCGTTATGTATTATGAAATTTGAATGAAGGTTTTATACTGCATCGCAGAATGAACGACACTGTTCGAAAACTCATATTTTGCGCTGGAACTTGTTGTTGTGACTGATTTGTTTTATTTTGTGGTACTTTTTCGCGCAGGAAGTCATGGAGCTGGATCTATCCACGAGACGGTCACACCATTACTTGTTTGGGGTGATGGCCTGAGCGGTCCAAAACTCCTTCCGGACTCTGAAATTGGACAACCGGTATCCTTGGACAAGTACGGTCTACCGCCACACATAGAAGGACGCGTGAGACGTGATATACAACAGGCCGACTTATGTCCTCTTATGGCCAGTTTGATCGGAGTTCCTATCCCAGTCAATTCCGTCGTAAGTAATTGTGTGCGTTGTTCTATGTACGGAGGATGCGTGCTGACGAGGTTCGTTGTGAACTTCATACAAGCAAACTGAATTGGTTAGGGTGAACTGAATGATTCGTTTTCACTGAATGCCGCTCATGCTCGATCTCTTCTGATCGATCACTGTTCATGCCTGTTACTAGACGACTCAAGGCGGTCGTTTTGAGAGATATAACTCCGTTCTATCCCTATAACAGCGCAATCTGATACGTTACACGTAGGGCAAAAATGATGAGGATACTCGTGACAGTTTTCATACAGTGTGATCCCATCTTTGATTGAGGCGAATTCTGGTAGTGAGGTGGACTAGGTTTGATTTCACATGAATTCCTTTGTCTCATTCATTTTGTTGCCTTGAGCGGACATACGTGATACAGCCTTTATGCATCACATTCAGTTGATGAAAACCATAAACGAAAGATTAGGACGAAATTCAGCTTAGTCTCTCGTCAGCGCAAAGTTAATTTCCAACAATCGTACAGTTTGGTGTCCAAATGCGAAGTAGGATTGATGGGAATTCGAGAAGCGGGCCCACCTGATGAGCCCGAAGAAGGGTGAAATCTGTAATGGGATGTCCAGTGCTTCCACTGAACTTATGAGTAGTATAGAAGCTTCTTTTTGGAGGACAGCTTGACCCACTTCGCACGGTGGTACGGGTTGCGCTCGTTACAAGTGGCTCTCACTTCTCTTTGGAGTTGATCTATGGCGTAACACCCGGCGATAAAGCTGCTCGTCGTAAATTGTTACATTTGTATGTATGTACTATGTATTGTGTTCTATGTTATGTCGTAATATGTTATTACGATAATTATGTCACATTATATTATAGCTGCATTGCCACTGAATCCAAGAGAACGAAGTTTTTCGTTAGATCTCGTTAGAATTGAGTCCCAGAATTTACAGAAATACTACCTTAATCGACTGGTACAAAACCACCAAAATAGAAAAAAATCAGCGTAACAAAAATACCGGTTAAAAGAGGAAAGCTCTTTACTGCGAAGCTGTTCATTAGCAAACACGAACTAAGTTAAAAACCAGTAGACAAGAAAGTAAATATATCATCTGCACAAATTTTTTGTGAAGTGAATAGTCTCACGCGCCCTCTTGAACCTTCATGAAAGTCCACCGACTATTAAACAACAGTGAACGAACACTGCAAAGCGGTTCCACAATTTATATAGTAACCTTCACCTTCTGGCGGAGCTCGGACCTCGGACAGTAGACTATTGGCATCCTTCATCAGTAGTATACACCCCTACACCGGGACCAGTCTGTGATTTCTTTCAGGTCAGAAGGGATTTCTATGCCATTTGCATTTCTCTGAAAAACCTCCTGATCGCTTCGTTATGGTTTTAGTGTGGCTGTTACTCTAATGGACAACGAACAGTTGCCGTTGTCCCTTGTACATCTGCTGTGGAGATCTATACTACAATTTGACCAGTCAGCACCTATTGAAGCCAGCTGGTAATAGTATGTGGTCCCCGGGATAGTTAGCTTGGATTGTTGAATGTTTCTGTCTGAGATCCAGTTTCTGTAACGGTTTAGTGTACTGCCCACCCAGGATGTACTGGCCTATTTCGTCGTCGATTCCACGCCACATCATACCCACCTGGTGATATTGGTCAGTTTTTATGATCTCAACGGGTAAGGTCTACAACTATACGTGAGATGGCCCAAGTGGTTACCGGAAGGTTCGTAGTTCGAATCCGACCTCCGCCACTCGACTTCCCCTGTCTAGGCTTGAGCAACCTGGCAGTATCCTAGCCCCCGTGCTCCCTTCGGGTGGCATGGCAGCTAGGCACCGGAAGGGTGCTACAGCTGAACGCTTTCTTTTTTTCTTTCTTTTATACGTGACCTGCGAACGAGCGCACAAATCTTCAGGAATGACCTGAGTTCAACCATTTTGTGCAGAGAGAGGGAGAACGGGACTTGGGAGAAGAGCATTTACTGTCTCAACCAAAGGCAAAGTCTAGCGGGCGCAACATCGATTGTTTATATTTTGTACGACCTTAGTGAACGGGAAATTCGTTAGCGCTCACAAAGTGCAACTCGTCCGTAGGAGGGAATCGCGGTCCTTTGAGGATAATGAGTAATATGGCAGAAACTGCGCGAAAATTCAAATTTTCAGAAAATTAATTAGTTGATAGCCCAAACAACAGTATATGATTTGTGACAGTCAGTTGGTCATTTAGCTGGGTGAACGTTCGAGTCTCTCTTCTGGGTCGGTAGTGCCACTTTGAAACGTTCCTCAGGTAGAGTTTCACGTCTGGTGTGGTGAGGCTTGAACCTTGCAAGCACGAGCACGTGATCTCACCCACGACCATTTCCAACTTCGGCCTACTAACCTACGGAGGTTGCCCATGGGGCCGATACCAGAACAGCTCATCTGGGACGCGGTGCGACCAATGTGGTACATCCAGTAACGCTTTCCCAAAGGCAACCGATACCTTCCTTATTAAGACGTTTGGATACTTTTTGTGGGGAGGTCTGCGCCAGACCCTTTTTATGGGGAGTGAGCGCAAAATGGGTTGATTATAGACAGCAATCACACTTTGGGATGGAGTGTTTGTCTAAACATTGTGGACTTCTATTGGCTTGATTTTCAGAGATTTTAGTTCAGGGAGGAGCTAACTCCCGTCACCTTTTGAAACGGCTTTTCATGCGATAAATTCATCTTTGCAAATCTCACCACGAAATCACAACCCTAAAGATTTTACATACTTATCTTCTTCTCGAAGAAAGACGAGTTGGACGATTTTCATACGGTTGCAGATAGTCAAAGTTACGTTTGTAAGTCATAACACTCCATCCGCTGGCCCACTGCAGTGTATCCATAAATTTTAGGGCGAGATGGCTCAAGTGGTTAGAGCGCGAATTTACTGACCGGAAGGTCCGTGGTTCGAACCCGACCTTTGCCTCTCGACTTCCCTTGTCTAGACTGGCAGCATCCCAGCCCTCGTGCTTCCTTTGTGTGGCTTGGCAGCTAGGAACCAAAAGGGTGTTACAGCTGAACGATTATTATCCAGAAATTTTCCATGGCATTGATGTACTCATGGCCTGTGATATATTTACGCCTCCTCTATTCAGATGTTTCTCTGTGTTGTCCGACGCTCACTACACAACCTTGCTTCTCCTTCTCCAGGGCCGTGTGCCATTGGCATTGCTAAATGTGAACGATTCTGTCAAAGTCAAGCTGGTTCGCGCTAATTGCCTCCAGCTGTTATCTCAGCTTCGAGTGAGTCATCGATTGCCTAAAACAGTCCTTTTTTCTAGCTGGCTGCTGTTGTTGAACCGCTATTTTGGTATTTTCGTTGTCAAACACCTCTTTTCCTCTCGTAATGAATTCATCGCGATGGAGTAGCCATTCTGTTCAGTGAAGTACCAGCTATTTTTTTGGTTTTCTCAAACAACATAGTTTCTTTTACCCTTATCCATTGTAGCTGAAACGAGAGGAAAAGCTCCGGAGTCACTTTGAATTCTTCTTCAAGGAATTCCCGTGAGTTCATTTAGTTGTGCGTAGTATTACAGTTTTAGCAGTTAACCTTTTGCAGTTACTCTCCTTTGTGGTGACATTCGTGTCAACTGCCAGTTCGTCAAGGCCGACTGCGCAACACGTGCGATTGAACCTTAGCACTTGCAGATATTCCTTTGCACAGTGCAGGATCATATTTTCCTGCGCGAACATATCCAATCAGCTTCTGGTCTCGGCCGTAGGCTCTGCGTCCCGTTATTGTTCATCTGTAGCAGCCTTTCAGTGCCTAACTGCCATGCCATTCGAAGGTTGCACGAGGGCCAAGATACTACCAGGTTGCCCAAACCTAGACAGGAGAAGTCGAGTGGCAGAGGTCGGGCTCGAACCACGGACCTTCCAGTGAGTAAATTCGTGCCCTAACCATCTTGCCCCGTCCCGTTATACCGTCATTCCTCTAATATCCGTCATGCGGCTTTAGTTTGCCATATGGACGAAATGCGCATCCTAAAAGTGGCTGTATCTGAGACCTATGTCCCTCTCATTGCTTCACAGCCTATGGTCGTTCGCTTCACGCCTCATCGTCTTGCCCCTACTTGTTTGGACGTGTGGCCTTATTGTAATCAGTAGGATGGTACATGTTTACTTTGTCTGACTGGAAGACCCGTTTTTACCAATCCTCATCACAATCGGTGTATGAATCGACCGTAGCTTTTTGTGTGAATCATGCTGTTGATTGAAATTTCCGTATCAGCTCAGTCCACTCCATCCCTTCGCTCCGCCAACCCTTAAATTGACAGTGGAGGGCGCACAGACAAAAAGATGAATGGAGAAAAGGTGAGATATGTTTCATTCGCTTGACTGAATTCACGACTGCGTTCACCTGATTGATTGATCATTAGGGTGTGAGCAAGTGTTGACTGCATTAACGTGTTCTTTACAAGTCCAAGTCTTCTAGTTTACTGACACCGAAGTTATCCGTTGAAGTGGCTGCGGCAGTTGCAACTTTCCGACAAAGAGCTCGTTAGTTTTAATGGAAGCTGAATGAGGCGATGAACGATTTGACCTGCCTGCAAGATAGTGCAGTAGTTGCAGTTTTCCGCACCATTCCGAAAATCATTCCATCCGCAAACCTTTGAGTGAGTTTACACCGGTTCACACACACTGACCGTATATTGTACAAATTGGTCAAGTAGTTATATGTATGTATCTGATGAGACTGTTTTCTGCGAAATCATGTAACGCAACCCTTGTATTTCGATTTGTAAATGAATGTGGATTCACAGATCCGAATGTCCAAAATGCTGAGGATTTTATCGATTCTGAACACGTTACTAGTGGCATCTGACGGCGAGCGGGTGCTTAGTAACTTTGGGCAACCTCGTTGATCTCGAGGTAGTTCAGCGGCTAACGCTCAAACTTACTGACAGGAAACTCTGTGGTTCGAATCTACTTCCGCCACTTCGGTTGCTTCTGTCGCGACCGACAGTATCTCGGCCCTGGTGCTTCCTTTGGATGACATACAACAAAACACGAACTGGCTCTTGTGATGGGCTTTTCAACTGAAAAATTCGGAAATTCTGCACATCCGGCCGCTGAAGCCTTCTGTATTTGGAATTTGAAGCGCAGCTGATAAACCGGGACCCGTGCCTGAACCGTTCTCGTGGGTTCTCGCGAAGGTTAAACTAGAAAACAGCCCGACCAATTCGGCAAGCGAGTTGCAGTCGAATTTTCTGTAAAGAACCAGGTTGAATGGTGATGTTACTGGGGCTGCTACACCCATTCAGAAGTGTTAACATCCCGCGAGTCCGCTGTGCTTTTTCCGAAGAAGCTGTCATTCACGAAGCCGGTAGATGATGTGAAAAGTCCAAGTCGAGTACGTTGTTGAATGTTAAGATCTAGACTTTATGACATTTTCCGAGATAGGGATTGCCGGCGATTCGCAGTATGGAACCAAGTGACCGTACAGTCTTTCAGGTCCTTTCAGCGTAGGTTGCTTTGGTTCGAAGGTAAGCGAGTTGCAGTCGAATTTTCTGTAAAGAACCAGGTTGAATGGTGATGTTACTGGGGCTGCTACACCCATTCAGAAGTGTTAACATCCCGCGAGTTAGAGGTGCTTTTTCCGAAGAAGCTGTCATTCACGAAGCCGGTAGATGATGTGAAAAGTCCAAGTCGAGTACGTTGTTGAATGTTAAGATCTAGACTTTATGACATTTTCCGAGATAGGGATTGCCGGCGATTCGCAGTATGGAACCAAGTGACCGTACAGTCTTTCAGGTCCTTTCAGCGTAGGTTGCTTTGGTTCGAAGGTGAAAATCCTGTCGAAACCCATTGTCTATAAAACACCACTTATTCATGAAATTGTCAAAATCTAGTTACGGGGGCCCACGGTAACGCAACGCGAACCCATGTGGCAATCGAACCAGACGGTTACTTGGAGCCATGTAGGTGTTCAGGTCGAATTTTCAAAGATTACGACGCCAGTCGCTCGGGAATCTCAATGATCTCAACCCACCTTAAACAAGCAGGGAAGGGGGCGGAGTAAGTCTTTGATGATGTTGACGGGTTTTGTTCTCAGGGGACATTTGCCAGACTCGTATAGTCTCTTTAGGTAAATTCACAATCGTTTATCTCCACTCATTTTCAGGGGGCGGGATGGCCCAAGTGGTTAGAGCACGAATTTACTGATCGGAAGGTCCGTGGTTCGAACCCGACCTCTGCCTCTCGACTTCCCCTGTCTAGGCTTGGGCAACCTGGCAGTATCCCAGCCCTCGTGCTTCCTTCTGGTAGCATGGCAGTTAGGCACCGAAAGGGTGCTACAGATGAATGATTTATTTATTTATTTTCAACTCTTTTCGCGTTGTTTCTGAAGATACCTCGAAGTTCACTTCTCTTTCCTATGTAATACCTTCCTAACCTTTGACATGACTGCTCCGGTAGGGGACGTCAGAGTATCGGTAAATGATGGAGTTATATTTCGCTAAGGGAATGTGGAAGATAACGGTGATCACCAAAAATCAATGGTTTCAGGCATCACAGCCCTGCTTTCGAGGGATTAGTTTGGAACAGAGTGAAATTACGGATGCTTATTTACTACTGTACTACGTAACTATAGAATGATCCGCTGGGCTGTCCAATATCAACGCCTGTCTTGCATTTTCACCGCGCTACTTCCCTTCCCTTCTTGGCGATTCGGTTTCTGAAAGAGCTAAAACCTTCACAGGACTATTGACAGGACTGATTCCTGAGAGATTTGCTTCATTATGCAGTGCTCTTTTCCCGTCTGGGCTTGGGTAACTTGAGAATATCTTAGCCCTCGCACTTCCTTTTTTAGCATGTCGGTTAGGCACTAAAAGAATGTTACAGCTGAACGATGACGCTGTACTCTCCCCCTTTCACATCACCTAAAAAGGCCAACTAGATGCTCCCGTATTAGAGAAATGCGTTGCCTAACAGTAATGCAGCCGTGCTCAGCCACCCTGCTGGCCAGATTTCGTGATCTCTGAATGTCGAGACAGCAGTTCGCTGATTGTGAAAGGGTATCGTTAACTGGAGGAAACAACGTAACTGGTGGTTTCTCCCTACTCTTCTCTTCCGCAGTTTTCTAAACGAACGGGATACACGAAGGCGGCTGGAAAAAGCGGAAAAATTGGAATCATCTCGTGCCTATCCTCAGTCGGTTAGTTGCATGTTTTTTGTCGCCATTTTCTGTTTGTTCACCGTTCATTGTGCCATGGTTCGTTTGGTCTACCTCACCCTGACCTAAAGCTGTCACCTTGACATGGGGGTTAGACTTGAACGCTGCAATGATTCCGTGGGCTATACTGGCTGGAACTTCGTTCCACAAGGTGCAACCATGCTAGGAAGGCCAAAGGGGAGCAGTTAGATGAACATCAGCGAGGCCTAATACTACGAGGCAGTCTGGGGATAAATTCGTACTGTCTTCTGCAATAGGAGTGTGAAGGCAGTAAGGTGACCAGCATGCCCACATTCATGGAAGGAACGATACTGCTTTCTCCTGAGGATGAACGTGTTAGAAAAGATCGGCCCTAAAATCCGCACACTCCGATCGCTCGCGGTTAACCATGACCGCCGGCGTACTATTCGATACGGTAGAAATACTTTATAACCGGTGCTGGTCAGTTTGTCTGAATATCGCTCAACGCATCTTGACATTGGTACGTCAGTGATTCAGTAATTCGATCAAGTGTACAACATTTAGGCTGTCCAATAGGTATTCAACCATTGCGGCACTTGTGAGGCGCTTTTGTGCACCCGGCATGCAAATCAATTTTGCTTTAGAATGAAGTGCTTGCCTGTGACTGTAATCGGGGGCACAAACCGCCCTATCCAAGTAGGTTTGGTGTCCATGGGATATACTGTTGAAGCATCTGAGTTCTTTCAGATGGTTTTATGGAGAACGCTTGAAGGTACGCAAAAAGCGGAGCCTATTTGTCAAGTTGCCTTGACACTGCCGGCCGCGCGGTAATTTCTTTTGAAAAATAATCTACACTGAACTGCACACACTGTACTGCACAACTGGAGAATAAACCAGACGCAGATTGTTTCGATATCGCTTATCGAAACAAGCCAGTCGGTTCAACCCACTGGTTATTGCCCCTGCAGTTGCCGCAGAACAGATAGAAATTTAGGTATATAAGCCAATGAGCATTCCCCCCCTCCAAAAAAAATTGCACACCATCCCTCGGTCCGAGTCGTAACTTTTTTTACCCAAAATTACGTTCATGTTGTGAGCCACAAGTCGCTAGATTACGACCAGGATCAAACTTCACGCATCATTTCTGATCACTGCTGGGTACCTTTGGTTAAAGGACCTGAAAATCCTCGGAGAAGTATTGATTGATCCAAGCCAATGGTGTGCGCTCAGCAATACTTGATCTGGACCCTGAGGCTACCACGTTTAGGGACTATCACGTTATGAGACTTATTCAGGAGCCTTATTATGAGGTTCGGCATACTCTATCTGTCTGATTCGCACTGCAAAACGAAGCGTGGTCAGATCTGCTTCATTACTCTACCCCTCACCTGGTTTTGTACTCACAACATCGCCTAGCAGCACGACGTATGCTTTACTTTATTAACCCGTTTTCTAATTTCTAATTATTTCCCTTCGCGCAACATCACTGTTATTATTAATAATGCTACCATTACCATAATCAATATCGCTTCTACTTCCCACCCTAGATTGTGGAGTATGAACAGTTGACAGAACTTATTCTGGCCGCTTTAAATTACTACCATACATATGACCGGCAGTTCTTGGGGTAAGTTCTTCTCCGGGGGTGTTTGACCTTATAATTCCGGTTTCTGCGGCTGTTTATTTCGATATCCATACAGTATGGTTTCTCCTAGCGCTCAGACCTCTTGGTTAAACTCACATTGCTGGGCTGTCGGACAACTGAGTTTTTGAAGAAGCTCCAATTCCTTCTGACAGTCGCCTATGAAATTGTATTGACGCTTAGTCTCTTTAACAGGTAGCTCAATAGTTGGGGAGCGAAGTTCCATTGTTCAAACTCAACCCAGGCATCTCGACTGCTCCTGTCTAGACCTGGGTAGCGTTGCAGTGTCTCACACCTTGTGCGGCATGGCAGATTGGCTCTAAAAAGAGGTTATAGCTGAACGATATTGTGATTATTAGTCAAAACGTTTAAGACATTGTTCATATTTCCTTTTAACTCAGAGTTTGTATTGGAATAACCTTCGCCCTGTGGAGTTTGGCGATCCTTTCGACATTGTGTGGTTCCATACTGTCAGAAACAACAGAATGTTCACGCCCTCTGCACATTTTTCGGTTCTTTGCCACTGGGATCGTCTGTTTCTGTGGATTGCTTGTTCTCAGCCTAGGTGAGTCTTCATTGTAGTTCATCATTGATGTTTGTTGCTATCATGGCGTAGCTCTGCTGCAACAGCTTTGGAAGTCGTCCTCTCTGCGAAAAATCTGAACTTGCCTGTCCGTTTATTTCGTATCTATGAACGTTACTTGGATGGAGGACTTTCACGCGAGTCAGGAATATTTTTCCCATTCTGGGTAGTAAATTGCGCACTGGCGCGACGGAGAACGCTGCCGTTGGTTCTTCTGTTCTCGAAGAGCGCTATCTTAGAGGCGTGTTTGTCACCTACGTGAGAAGAGGCTGAACATGAGTCTGTTCGTATGGGTACTACCGGATGGGTACAATTTGCATATGATTCCACAAGCTCGGTGTTGTCAAATGTTTTATTAAGTCTCATCTTTGGTGAGCTCCCTCAGTGGTTAGAGTGCGATTTACTGAATGCAAGGTCCGTGGTTCGAACTCGGCCTCCGCCTCTCGGCCTCCCTGTCTAGGCTTGGGTTACCTGGAGATGTCCCACCCCTCATGCTTCCTTCGGGTAGCATGGCAGCTAATCACCAAAAGAGTGTTACAGCTGAACGATCTTTGGACTTTTCGCGATCGAAGAAATACGGACGAACGGTGGTCGATAAATTGGAGCATAGCTTCCGAGTAACCGAAGCTGTAGTTCCCATGAGTAGCATGTACCTGTCGCGGCCTTAGCTGCCGCAGATTTGTGGAAACAATATTTCCAAAGCGTAGAAATGCACCGGGTTTCATAGTGTATTGGAGCTAAATGACCATGCTGGAATGCGTCGAAGAGTACACCTCCGTTCGGAAAAGAGAACCTGAAAAAACGTGGACGATTATGAAAGCTAATTACATTTACGTTGTAATATTAATAGCGCGGGAGCGTTTAATAGTTGTCGATCAGGTGACCGTTGATTTGTTCACCTAGGTTAGCAATGAGGTTTCGACTGCTTAGTCACTAAATACCTACAAACTGATTATCATGTTTGGCCTAGAGATCAACAACTGCCTGGTCAAACTACACCTGACTTGGCGAGTGAAATATCCATGAAAAGAGATGATGGAAGCGGGAAGCTCAAGAGCTCAAGTTGACTCACGTTAGGAGTCGATCACTGACCGGGATATCCTTCCAATTACCCTTGGATTACTCTCGGCTAGGAATTTGCAGCCTGGTAGTATGTCATCCTCGGTTTCAATATCAGCCAAGCACGACCTGATGAGTTAATGGGATCACCAGTTAATAAGTACACTTTGCGGTGTGTTTCCGATATTTTGAGAAATCTGTACCTTTGCTCTTCCCAGTCGTGTGGGTTGTTCACACTACGTTAGCATTTTGTAAAGATGGTCAGAAAGTCACACATTTTAGTGGAACAGATCGACAGTAAGCGACCAGTATGATAGTAACCACATCCTTTGCCTTACCTGACAGGCTGTATTCGTATGATCGGCTGACAGTGTCTGTTCGTCACGTTGTCACCTCTTTTTACCCACGTCATAGCCTTTCTAAATACACGTCCGGTGCTCGTCACTGTCTGCGTCCTGGGGCGAGATGGCTCAAGTGGTTAGCGCCCCGTAACCGGCTCGCGACGAATCCGTTTATCCGCGTGATGTTCGGTTATCTAGAGCGACTCGCCTCCGGGCACAGATGTTCTTTTGCAACCAATACCATTAAAACTAAAGGAGGGACATATTACGCTGCGCAGTCTAATGTGGTTGAAGGTCCGTGGTTCGAACCCGACTTCCCCTGTCTAGGCTTGGGCAACCTGACAGTATCCCAGCCCTCGTGCTTCCTTCGGGTGGCATGGCAGCTAGGCACCGAAAGGGCGCTACAGCTGAACGATTTTTTTTATTTTTTAACTTTGTTGGACTGGTCCAGGCAGGCGCAGAAGCTCGAATATAGCGTGTACATTAGTGGTTGTTACAAAACGCATGAAACGTGGCACTCTGTCAGTTTGAGGCTAGGTGTAAAGTATATTTTTCCTCCGGGCTATCTTGAAAGTTGCATGTGACACATCAGGTTCGTTAAGCCTCTATTCATCTGTCACAATCTGGCCGGAGCGGACGCCGATTCACTCTGGGGATGGGTCACCTTTTTGAAGAGTCCACATCAGCATTCCCCATCTGCAACTACTTGGTCTGAAATCTCCATGAAGAGAGGCCAAACACTCCTCCTTCCGCCCTGATGATCTTGCTTGAAGTTGAATACTGTACTAGTGAGTTACGTTCCACTTCAGTACAATACTCGGGCGAGATGACCCAAGTGGTTGGAGCGCGAAGTTCTGACCGGAAGGTCCGTGGTTCGAACCCGGCTTCCGCCTCTCGACTTCCCTTGTCTAGGCTTTGGAAACCTGGCGGTATCCCAGTCCTCATGCTTGGCATGGCGGTTAGGCACCGAAAAGATGCTACAGTTGAACGATTTTTTACACTACTTCCTCTATTCTACCACCTCGGAAATAATCATACTGTGGAGGGGCCAACACTTTAGTACATTTAAGTGCCATGCACAACTATACACCCTGTTGTTAGACAAGGGGGTCTTTACACAGTGGATTATTGTACCAATATATTTTGTTGTGTTTTTCCTCCACAATTTCTGGGCAATGTTCATTCGGATTTTTCATTTTCGCTCCTCAATCTTTACAGCCAAGTTATGCCCACCAAGCCATACTGTTTGCCAACTTGTACCGCTTACATTGGCACTATACCTACTGTGGTCCCCATCCACGCGTCGTCTACTGTTCACGAAGCGTGACTCGGAATTCGTCCGTGCCACCAGTCGCCCGTCACAATATGAAAACATCCAGTGCAGTTCGTTTGCAATTGGTTTACTGCGCTCGGTTAGCTCTCTGTGTGTCCTGGAATTACTGGTACGTGATACTGTCTGCCGTTTTCATGCATTAGAATGTTGTGACGCTCGCCTTCTCCGCCCGCACAGATATCCGTGCAATGTGATAGATGTCTTGGAGACTTCCGTGTCCGTAACTGTAACACTGTTACAACACGATTTCGTGTCACATGTTGTCACCTTAACTCTCAAACATCGCGTGCATCACTGTTATATTCCCCATAGATTATTCTGGAGAGTTTCCGAGTAAATAGTCACTCAGCATTATACTGGTCGTCGGGATGATGATTCTGGTGGATGTCACAAGGTGCATTGTGGCCTCGATGCGCCACATACCTTTGCTTAACACATTTACCCCTGAGTGTTTTCTGTTTCGAATTCAAGCATATAACACTCAGTTATCCCATTTCCTCCAGATCTGGGGCTTCCATTATCGTCCTCTCTTATCCGCCGCATGTCTCGTGGTTGCACTGTGGCCATTGTTGGACCCATCCTTCGGGCAAGGTTTACCGGTGAGTAATCAGTGGAGCTGGTCGTTTCAAACGGAATTGACTTGATTTGAGCATGCGTTACAACTGCTGATTCCAAAACTCCTGATGACTTTCTGTGCTTGTCGGTTTTGCTCTGGAATATCGCTACCTTTCTAACGCGTTCGAAAATCCTTACATACTACACGTATAAGTTCTCACTGTATCTCCAAACACTTGTTTCAGCACGTGCGATGTCTGTGGTCTTTCGCTTGTCTTTTCCTCGCCGTGTTCCCTCTTCTTCCCGTCATCGGATCATTTTTTCAACCGTTCCTCGCGTGAGTTTCCGCTCTTGTGTGTATATTCGATCCCGAAATAGTCCTCTAATCAAAGTTTTCAGATATGTTCACTCATCTGACTGAAAAATTCTTACCGACGACATTTTTCTGCGATACTATTCGTGAATCTATCAACTGATTTCATCGTGAACTCAGCTCGCCGAAACTGAACCTCAATGATGAGCATAAGGGACAGCTGTTGTTGAATTATGATTCTTTTTAGCTAGCAAAGAGAACTGAAAGGGGAAGGGGAGTAGGACCAAAAGTTAGCCAAAGATAAACGTCCCCAGATGCCTACATCTCCAAACCATCGGTCAGAATATTGTGATAGAAGTAGTCTTCAGGAATGCTCCGGGAAGCTTTTGAAACCTACGCCTGACTCATGCAGACTCAGTCGGGGGAGTCGGTGGCACTTCCTTTCCATTTCGTGTTGTTAGCGCCACTGAACCAGGGAAAGAAAACTAGTCTCTTTCCGATAGCCGATGATCTGCAATGTGTAACACGCTACCGGACTAGTGCTTTATTCTACCAGACACTATCTTTAATGAAAGTCCATGTTGTTGTACTAGCAAAAGGTTATTTTCTGATCTGCTTGTGAGTCGGGCGATGTCAATTCACTTGAATCACAGTTCTGAAACTAGATATCGCCTGAAATCCACTGCTCGCAGAAGCCAGATGTCACAACCACAGGACAAAGCAACGCGCATTATGCACCCGACCCCAAATGCTGATTTATGCCACACGCACTGAACAAAATTAGACTTTTAAGATGCGTGTAATCTTCTCATCTGGTCCCCAATTAAGGTCATATCGGTATCGGCCTCACTCTATGGATGTCAGATCTTCCATTCAGGGCATTTTGTATTAGTTCGAAGTTTTCAAGAAATTTTAATGTGTGGCAGTCGACAGAAACTCAGCTATGATCTAGCTGAACCTATAGAATACGATTTTTTGACAGCTCCAGTAGTCGGTGACCAATCAGAAGCGTGTAAAAAGTTGGTCACAGCTGATCAGATGAATATCGGGGTTAGAATTTAGACGACCGTCAATGGTCATGCTGACATTTTTTTGTCTGCTTGGATCGGAAATATAAACCTGGACGCATATCTAACGGAACGGCGAACCAGTATCCCAATACATTGCATATATATCGGACATATTTTGATAGGTGTCACGCCGAGATACTGTATACAAAGCCTAATGCTCATGCCTGCATTCCGAATGCCATTATTTTTATTTTACAGCGGCCTCAGTGGATTGGTCATATCCGCCATCAGTGTGCTCTGCTCCCGCTGGCTGTCGTCCTCATCAGCATGTGTTCTTCCGAAATACCAACCAATCCATTCTAGCGCAACTGACTTTCGTTTTGGTTGGATTTACGTAAGTGTTTTTTTTGGTTCGTTTTTCCTCTTTCGTGAGATTGGCAAACTATGCGCCCCCTACCTTATTGTGGTCGAAAAGCCGCACAGCGATATGATTCAGGATGCGTGGTTTTGATTACGTAAGTTCCGTGTGCGAAGCGCACTCATTTGGTTGGTCGACTTTGTATGGTGGAACTGTTTGCGGCGCATGTCGTACATCAAACGCTTGACCTCGCAGTCCGGAGAACATGCGTTCATTGCTTGAGAACTACTACTTCCGGCTGGTAATCAGGAAGTGGTCTGGTCGGATTAACCCCAAATCGCCTGAATGTATATTTCTAAGGCTCTCATATCCTGGTCGTTTTCTTTCAGGGTGTACTGGCTGCTTTGGCAAGCTGCGCTGTGCTTCTCGTTCGATCATCGATAGAACTTCCTTCGGTCATCAGTCTTTCAGTACAACTATTCAGTTGGTCAGTGTTAGGTGAGTTCCCGTCGTTTGGTCTGCGCTTTGTTCCGTCTCGCTGCAGTTCGTATTTGCTTGGAACATCGTACTTTGTCTGAATACAACTAAATGGCATTATCTCATTCCACCTCATGGATCATCCTTCACTTCCTTGCATTGGTCTGTTGCCGTTAAGTGGCTGTGTTTCAGGTGGCCTTTACGAAGTGGTTTCATGGAAGAAATCAGAAAACTTAAACCGCTAGTGGATAGGTGAGACAATTGTCAGTCAGTTCAGTTGACCAGCCATCGTCGTCCTTTCCCTCCGCCCTAACACACAAAATACCGAAGATGTCCGAAGCCAATCAAGTCTCTTTCTCTGAAAATGGGTCGTTACCTGTCCACTTGAGCTCACAGGCAATCAAAAATGGTCTCTATGTTCACGCTTATTCTATATTTTTATGAACAATGTACTGTGAATACTTGTCCTGCATCTGTGATCAGCTAGCATGGTAAAAAAATCCTTTTCGCCTCCGGTGGCGGATGGCCATCACGGATTCTGCATGAATCATCAGCCGATGCATACAGTAACGTTGACAGTAATACCAGCACTAAGTGCTGGCGCTTTACTGCCACATAACCGCGAGAGGAGAAAGCCTTAGGAAAAAAGTGAAAAGAACATATAATAAAGTTAAGAACTTACTGCGAAGATACCTTGTATCTTCAAGAAAGCAGATCAAGAATAAGGTACCTGCGACTTTGGACAGCATTAAAATAAACCCAACTGTGCATCATGTCGAAGTAAGGCGACATCAGCGTCCTTTGTGAACCTCATCCGACATAAACCCAGTGAACAACGGCAGACGGACAAGCTAGGCTGTCCGGCTAGGAAATGACAGCATGCGCGGCACTAGGATCGGCTGTGTCCGACATAATTCCGAGCTACGTGCTAGCAGGAAGGCGTAAAGATCTAATGACACCCATTTTGGCCGTGGTTCCCGTCATTTTACTTTGCAGTGCCCTAGCCCGTCTCCCGCGGGTCTTTTCTAAACAATAGTTTCGAACGTAAAATAGCGCTTTCTTGACTAGGTGATGGATTGATATTTATATTACCAGTCCCAACCACCCCAGTCTATCGGGTTGGGGCTACCGCTCCAAGACTTCTGCTTCTTTACCAATTGCCCGCTTACGAATCAGTTCGTACTGACTGCAGCCAGCTAACTCTTGGTAAAAATGCTTAAGGACACGTAAGATCTTAGTGTCACAAAAATTAAGACCACACTTAAACTGCCTTGTATACATGGTCCCCTAACGTCGGTCACAAATGACGCAATCTGGTGGACGCTGTTCGCACCTTTACTTGATCTACTGTAGTACAATAATGGTTTGCCCAACTCCCGACGTACGTGAATCGTGAACGTGTCGCAGACCTCTTTAGCGTAAGGCAGTCTCGTCCGGAAAACCCAGCTAAGATGGCCGCTAAGGACATAGGTCGAAAGAGGAGGAATGAACCTTTTCGCAATCCAGTGATCATGCTCGAATCCAAATGTGCCGTGCCCAAATCTGTGAGGCGGAGCAGTGTAGTTATTTTCGCAAAAATGTGGGGACTCGTACTGTGACGACCATACAATAAATTTGACGGGAATAACCAAAGTATTGTATGTGAAGACAACAGCTTCAAAAGGATGCGCTTTACAGGGGGTTTACTGTCTTCGTTATCCGAAAATGTGCGTTTTCACTGACAGTTTTCGTTGGTTTCTAGCTTCTCGTGTGAATTCTTTTGCCACCCGTTGTTAACTGGGTGCCTTGGACATGTATCAGCAGAAGTTTAGATCTGTGTTTGTGTATGTGGTAGACAGTTTTCGGTACCGTCCTTCGCTCAGGTGTAACACCCTCCCGGTGCCTAGCTGCCATGCTAACCGAAGAAAGCACTGGGGATGGGATACTGTCAGGTTGCCCAAGCCTAGACAGGCAAAGTCGAGAGGCAGAGGTCGGGTTTGAACCACGAACCTTCCGGTCAGTAGATTCGCGCTCTAGCCACTTGAGCCATCTCACCCCGGTACCGTCCTTGAGAAGCATCGTCTCCCAAACCTACGGAAGCCTTATGTAGTTCGCCTTGTTTCCGGCTACCAGTTCGTCTACTTTCCTGATGTACTCCATATTGTTCTTATTTTAATTGCAACATGTCGCATTGTTGCGTGTTCTATCGTTTCATACCATATTTCACTGCGTCTTCACTTCATTAGTGGCCACTCGAATGTCTCCTCGTAACACTGGACGCTCCGGAAGAGTGAAGCGATTGACACTGGTGCCTTCTGAGGTCTCGACTCAGCCTGATTGTTGGCGATCACTAGTTAGTCATGTGTGTTCTAGGGGGACGTCTAGTGAGTGGGCCACCGGCCATACACTGAGTTTCATTCACACGACGCGAGACACGCGGATGTCTCTTGAAGTGCCATATGTGTGCTGATTTCATGGATTCTCTCTTTACTGACATTCTTTGGTTTTCATTTTATCCAAATTAACTTTCGCCTAACCACCGCTTTTTTCGGTCTCTCCCAATTTCACCTTTATTCTCCTACAATCCACAGTGCTTCCTCTTGTTCTCTTCCTGCGTGTCCCACCTCGACTTGGATTCCGAATCTTTGGCTCGTTCAGTGCGTGTGTGATTCCGTTCATACTTCTGAGTACTGGGTGAGTTTGAATGCTTCGGAAGATCCCATCAGTTTGTCTGAACCGCAAACTCATGAGCTGTTCTTCAGTCAGTAACTCAATTCCAGCTTATTACGGGCGACATACTGACCTAATTGGTGCATGGATTCTCTAGCTTATAACTTGCGTTTTTGCGTCTCATAGTGTGCCCTAGGTTACAAAAACCACTTTCGACTTTGGTAGCTGCAGCTGTATAAAACCCTGCAAAAGCACACCGTAACGACTGATTGATTACGCAGTCCAAACCTGAGATGGCTAGTAGCTGGTAAAGTTATATTGACGGTGGAATGGAGGAATTCGGTGATTTTTAGTAGGGATTCCGTCCTGCCAGTGAAGTCAATCTGTGACGAAAAGACAAGAACTATTGCATAGCTTTCTCATCCTTGTTAGGAATCGTTATCAGTGCGCATCTCACTGAACTGAGAGAGTCTCGAGGCGATGGCCAACACCAGACGGCCGGTATTGTACGCCACACAGTATCAATCAGAAAACTGCGTGCGCCGTAAACCTGATCTTACACCCCTGTAAAACAATGTTTTTTCTTACCGTTCGTTGGTCTTATAAATATTGCATGTTTTGCGTCCGCGCGATTCATGCATTGTTGGCGCTTCGCGACTTCTTTCTGTGCTAACGAGCTAGACTCTACTAAATCATCCGTAGCGCAGCTGAGAAATTTGCAGGTTGACCTCAGAGACAACTGGAAGCAAGGCCAGAAGTACGCACGACTAAGTACAGTTTTGCGCTGCCAAACCAACCAATTGCAACTTTGTGCAACCCAGACCGACTTCTTTTTACACCATCGATCGTCAGGGCACATGGCTGAGCTGTAATCAACCAGCCAGAACCATTCCAATCTATCGGGCATTGTTCCGCAGATCCGAATTATTCCAGTTGCCCTGGTTCTTCTTGTTTTTCGAACAGTATCTTCACGCTTTCTACGTGGTCTGTGGCGTTTTTTGGCCGCCACACCGGCGTGACTTGTACAGTTTCATACAAGTGCTACTTTTTATTTGGTAGTCTGTGGCCGTTTTTCGGCGTACACTCGTTGTAGTGAAGATATTTCTCTTGAAATGAGTGGTTAACACCGCAGAATTCGTTTTTGGCACTCCGCAATTTTGAATACTTTCAAGGAAAGGAAATGGAATTCATTGCTGAGAATGACTCACACCAATGACAAATAACATCAAGATGTCTTTTTAGGAAAACTACCCTAAAGGTTATTGATAACTCTTCGACAGCCCACAGGCGATTTCGTCCTCCGCGGAGCTCATCAGGTAGGCACAGTCCCTGGGCTTCCATCAACCTTATGTTCTTCGTGAACTCAAATTGTACGGAATTCACCAAATACACTTATTTTCGCGCATTTGATTTTGAAGGCAAATCCACCTGACTGCAGCAAAACCTCTCGTTTGTGATATTCTTCCACCGAATGTGGTACCCGAAGTTCACTTCATGTTTCGAGATGTCGCGGTATATCTTCTTGAAGGATACTACTCATAAGGTTGCTGACAACTTGGCTTCAAGTAGAACATAAGGTTGACGGAAACTCGGGGACTGCGCCCACTTGATGGGCCCAAAGAAGGGAGAAACCGGTCGTTGGGTGTGGGAGAGTTTCCAGTAACCTTGTGAGTAGTTTCCTTATCTTACCAACTGAAGCATGACGTGGCCTTTTTGCAGCATATTCAGTTGAAAAATATCATAAACGACAGATCAGTTGAATCTCCCGTTAAGACCAGGTTGGTTTGCAAATGGAGGTATTTCGCGAAACAAGATGTCTTGTTCCTGTCTGCTTGGTTTATCGCCCTTTTTTCGCATGATTCATTTGGATCCATTTGCCTTTTCTGTCCCGGAATCACTCGTTTCTTTTCAACAGGTACGAGGTTGTCTTCCTCGGTGTTTTTCTCCTTGTTGGCTTACTGTGGATCCGGCTGGAGGCTTCCAGCATGAAGACGAACGAAGTAAGCTGCTTTGTGTACCCATCCATTTCAAATGAGCGATTGTGCACGTGTGTATCGTACCAACTGCTTTGGGTCTACCCAGGTGCTGGCAGTTTTTTTTACAAATGATCTCGAATCGTAATGCTCCTTACAAAGACACCCTATATCCCTCTGCTTCTTTCCTTTCTCTGCCTCTCAAAAAGGCACTTCATGTTCGAAATACAGCCAAACCAATTTCGTGACTGATGGTACACTCCATGTCTGACTGCCTTTTTTTTACTGGACTTAGTCGTAAAGTAGCCCATCTCTCCGTCAAACCTGCTCCTTCGAGACCTTCCTTACTACGACGGAATGGCCTGACTGAGATTTTTGGGATGCATTCACCTTTCCCTTGAAAAGCTCGCTCTGTTTTTAGCGACGGATTAGGTACGTGGTCAAGCAAATGTATGTCTGTGGATCTTAGGATCCATAGGAGTAACATCGGTGTCGTTGTTTTTTTTTCACCGCTTTATAAGAATTTTGCATCCTGTTATTAGTTTGTCAGTCCCTTCGTTGTTGATGATAAATACGTATCCACTAATCGCCGGTGCTCAGTTATCTGTCCTCAAATTTGAGGCGCATTGGTTGTGAACGGAGCCGTATTAGTCTTGAAAAACAGAGTGGTTCTAGTAGTTATCCGGTATGAAAGAGAATGGCTTTTTTCGGGTTTTAAACGACCAGCACTGCTCCGAAAAGACATATTTCCCTATTCGACCGAACGACCTTGCAAGTGACGTAAAAAAACTCACGTCCGTGCCGGAGTGTACTTCGTACAGGGTGGGCTTTTCGTCAGAGGAGAAGAATAGAGAATACCTTTTAATGGAAAGCTCCACATATTATTTGCCGTGATCACCAATCAGCATGTGGGTTTGATTACCTGCCGAATTTCGCTTATCTACGTAGGACATGGAGAGCAGAAGGAATAGAAAAAGGATTCCGTGCGTAGTACCAGTTGTGTTCGTCCTTCCCTCTGTTTGTCCGCAGGTGATCCTCTCGTCTAGCTGTAGCACCTTTTCGGTGCCTAGCTGCCATGCCACACGAATGAGGCACGAGGGCTGGGATACTGTCAGGTCGCCCAAGCCTAGACAGGGGAAGTAGTGAGGTAGAGGTCGGGTTCGAACAATGAACCTTCCGGTCAGTAAATTCGCGCTCTAACCACTTGGTCCATCTCGCCCCCTCTACTAGCCATACAGGGTTCAGGATACATTTTTAGCCACTATTTTTCCCAAGCATTTCCGATAAATTTATGGGAGACTGTTCTGCTTACAGTGGTTCTCATGGTAGCCCACTTCCCATGACAGCGTATGGATTCACCACTCCACGGTTAGCACCTCGGACGACGCAGTCCGTCGTTTATCGTAACTGAGTAACAATTTGTGAACGCTTAATTATGCTTTTTTACACCTCAAACTGACAGTTTTTTTATTGAGGCTTCATACATTACAGTAGTTTGGATGTGGTCAACCCGATTTCGCCCCCTGCAAAACAAAGCGTCCACGGTTTTCTCTAGGCAATGTGATTGGGCCAAAAGTATTTCTTGATACTGTCCATTAGGTCTTTTCAAGGTTATCTATTACCATCACTATCTGTTGGCATCGCTTTTAGCTCTCGTATTCCTTCTCCTTATAGCTCTGGTCTATAAACACGCGACCACACGCAGCTGAACACAACGAGCAACCGGATGATACGAAAGACGCGCTCAATTTTCGGAACTTTCGACAATCTCTCTTCTTCGTATCCTTTTCTCGGTTTGGAACCAAACCGGCTAACCACTAGTCAGTGTAGAACATGTCTAACACAGCCCCTTTAGCATCCAGGGTATTGACACGGAATTCAGTGCACAAACTCGCTTCTCACTCAGTGCAGTGGTCCCGATAAAAACTGACATTTTGAACACTGTTGAGATGGAGCAAGTTGAAACTGGCCCAGTGCAGCTCATGTCTGAATACAAACGAACTCATGCAAACGTGTACGATGACGCGGCTTACCACTCACATCACTCAAGCGCGAAAACGTTCAATGTTTATATGTGATTATTCAGATCCGTTTAGCTTGTGTTGGCGAAGTAGTTGTAACATGCTCGCCTCGCATGCCAGATGTACGTAGTTCAAAGTCCTTCACGATCAAGGATATGCACTGCTAGTCAGCTCCAATAAGAGCGAGACTCTAGTCAAGGGCTTCCCTCCTTTGGTGTAGACTGGCCAGAATAATTGCACCAGGTGATGTGAGCGTGCATTCCACAAATGCTGCAGACACCCGCAAATCGAATTCCCGCTTGTATCACCCCCGTTCGAAAAGTCTCCCTTCTGTCCTGGTGTGATTATTCTGGTCAGTCCCCACCAAAAGGGAGAGGCAGTAGACTCCATTTTCGCTGTGGTTAGAGTTCATCAGCAGTGCACATCCTTGACCGTGCCGGGGTTCGAACCCCGGATATCTGAAGTTGAGTTTTGTAGCATATGAAAATAGTAATAGCTACGTTCTCGTACGATCATTTATGATATCTGGATTCTGGCAGGCGACCTGGACAGTACGGTGTGCGAATCAAAGAAGCTTTGAAACACCCTATAGGATGCAGAGTACCCGTGTTGGACTTGTTCCGTAATCGCACTGAACAAAACGGGTGATGATAGCTTTGGTCATGGTGCCTAGTGCATCCTACGTAAGCCCAAGATGAAAACGCTCCCCCACTCTAGTCGACTGTCATACTGCTGTAAGACCACCGTAGATATGTCGGAGACATGTTTGAATTTTATTAGCTCACCACAACTAGGGTTACTTATTCTCCGTCGAACCTAATGCAGAAACGCTGAGTAAAAATTGGTGTTCGACTGCCATTGACACGCTTCTCATTAGGGTCTCAGCTGCAGGATCGGCTTTGACAGCGTGACATCAATGCTTCACTGCTCTACATCGATTTGAAAGCCTCATTGTGAGGACTGGGAAGGAACTTTGTGCTAGCTTACTACAACCATTCCGGGGTGCCTACACCTCCAGACACTCGTTCAAGTAATCTGGTTAGAAACCGACAACAAGAAGGCCGTAGACATTGATTGCAGCATCTTCAACCAGGTGCTGTGGGAACCACATGGTCCCCATCCTGGAAGCCGAGTAACACTGACAGCACGCAAACGTGTCGCCTATCAACTACGATTTCAATCAATTTGACCCGAGTAACTTCCTTGATGTACGTTTGTATCATCCACCCGCATGTATGCTGTCCTGCTGCCTAGGAAACATTGGGTGTTTTAGACACTCTCCCCTCTGAAAAAGGTTGTTTATTAGAAATCTATCGCGTAGTTATTGGGCGAGATGGTCCAAGTGCTTAGAGCTCGAATTTACTGACCTGAAGGTTTACGGTTCGAACCCGACCTCTGCCTCTCTACTTCCCCTGTCTAGGCTTGGGCGAATTGGCAGTATCCCAGCCCTCGTGCAACCTTCGGGATGGTATGGCAGCTAGGCACCGGAAGGACGTTACAGCTGAACGATTATATATATATATAGTCCCGCGGTCTTTGCTGTTAAGCACTGGTTTGTTATTTCGTCCAGGTAATCTTGATTGAGTTTGCACGAAGGCGTGTTCCTACATAACAGCGAAATCCGTGACTGCTTGGAACTCCTGAGTAGTCTTGTGTTGTCTCGCCTTCCATCAGTACGTCAACTCTTCCAACGAATGGTGCCATCCATGGCTAGATTATCGCTTAAGTCAAGTTGAAAGAAGTTCACCAGTGTGGCGGTTTGGTGTATTAGCAGTGCTTACGGCACTAACTCCTTGATATCAGCACGTAAACTTGGGTCAGTGGGGGGAGTGAATGAAGGAGGATCAGAAAATGTCTCATTTCGGTTCTAACAGTTGCTCCCTTCACGCCTCTTAGACTATCTCCTTGAGGAAGAACCCCGTGTCCTAATTGTTTCCTGGCCAGGCATCTTTGCTCCAACCATGCAGGTCAATTTTCCTAAAGCGAGGGCCAACCAACGCTCTTGATCGAAGTTGAATACTCACTTATATACCTTAACTAGCTTTCAGATATTTTTGCTAGTCCTCTCCTTCTTCGGCACCGGAAACATTGCTAGTGTCAACAGGTATGTTCCATATCAGTAGTATCTTACGCAAAGATGCAAATTTGCCCTGTGTCTCACTTCGCTTTTCCCTTGTTTCCGTCTCCAGTTTCGACCCGCGTTCTACATATTGTTTCATTACTTTGCTGAAACCAGCTGTGATGGCCGTCTTCCTTATGTTAAAAGTAAGTCGTTAAAAACGTTGTGTCAATTAAAGTCGCCCGAAACCCTAATTGCAAGAGGATATAGTCCACGAGAACGTACTGGTTTTAAAAAGGAAGATGTTGGGAAAATAAGTTGCTAAAATATAGTTGCTGTTGTGCACCGCAGGTGGTGTTTAAAATCTTATGGTGGTTTTTGGCCCCCTATTTCTCCCACTTTGATATATCAGAAGGCACGTTAGCTTGCAACAGCCTTTTATAAAGACAAAGCAAAATTGCTGCAACTGCATCTCCAAGGTTATCAGGGAATTTTCCACAAAGTCACGCCAGAATATTCTTACTGGCACGGCAGGCGCTGAGGAAAACGGCTCGATCCTAACTGGTTCACATTCCGACCAATCAGTGCATGCTTTGGCATGGTACATCTGTAGTGACATCCGTCCAATCACTGTGATGTTCGCCTATTTAGTGTGGCTCGCCTCTGGACACTAGGTAAGGAAATCCAGGTGCGACAATTAAATCTCGCAGTAGTAATTCGCTTGCTAGGTCATTGATCGGGCTTCTGGGGGCTCACCACAAATCACAAATCTGACCGTATGGCTTGTCATGCCTCCCCAGCACCGAACCACGGTCACTTTAAAGGTAGGTAGGGCTAAACCTACAGCATATCGACTGAATTCGCATGATTGTATCGACCTTCACTCAACTGTCAATAGTATTTCGTTTACCGATTAATCTACTCCGTTATCACTTTCTTGCCAGCTGAATTGTGGGTAGACAAAGAATTCCCAGCGAATGGGACGAATATACACTCTAACCCCGAATCGTGCTCTCTTCACGAAGTTCCTCTGGAATTTGGATGTAGGAAATGTTATTTGTTCTCCTCGGTGTTGTAAATACTGTCATTATCCCTCTGAAGAGTTCGGAAATAAAACTGAAAATGAGCCACTTCGTGTTTCTCAGTTAGAACCGTGATCGATTTTCCTAGCGTCATACCCAATCATGATCACTCGAAAGCATTGAAACTTTGTAATCTTGGAAATCCACAAATTGTATTGTTGGGACCCTTTAGGTAAAATCGGACGAGCCGGGTCAATTGGCTTGGTAACTATTCCAAACAAAATACAGAAGTTTTCTAAAGAATCCACCTTGTTCAGAATGAGCTTCTGTAGGCTTCTTCGAAGGACTACTGCCTTGTATTACAGCTATAGATATCTCTTGAATAAGCTAGTTCACTTTCATACTGGGGCGAGATGGTCCAAGTAGTTAGAGCGCGAATTTACTGACCGGAAGGTCCGTGGTTCGAACCCGACCTCTACCTCTCGACTCACCCTGTCTAGATTTTGGCAACCTGGCAGTATCCCAGCCCTCGTGCTTCCTTCTGGTGGCATGACAGTTAGGCACCGAAAGTGTGCTACAGCTGAACGATTTCATACTGTACTTACCTACGTGTTCATAGGTTTAGAAACAAACTTCCCAATTTCCCGGCTCTTTACGTCTTAGTGTACCGTCGTCTACCCAGTTATTGTGTGAGAAACCGGCCAAAAAGGTCCACCACACACTCAATGCACAACAATGATTTCCGTCCGTTCGGCCACTTCATGACATATACATTTCATGATTCTAGACGCCACATCGAGCACATACCGGCCGATTTTATTCGGGTAGTGGTGGCTGTCCCAGGCTGTCTTGATAGATAGCATTTTCTCATCAACCGGATTCTGTCAACTACATCTTGCATTCCTAGTCATGGAACCGCTTTTCGTCAGGTGTGGATTTAGTTGTTTTTTTTTGGGAGGGGGTATTCATCCTATCAACTTCAGGATGACCAAATCTGGATACTTTTTGTTTCATGGCTTTCAGGATTAAAATGAGGTGCCTTGTTAGGCTTTTTCGATGTCCGAAGTGGAGTAATGTGCGTACAGTTAGTGTTTCATTGTAGGTGACGTAAAATCTGCATTCATACCACTGCTTTGAATAGTGCTCTCTCCTTGGTTCAGTAGTTCAAGTGAGTACATATCAAACAGTAAGTAAATGCGAATTCAGCAAATCGCCCAACCAATCGGGAAATAGTCCACCAGATTCGTGGCGGTATCTCACGCGGAATTCCTGACGAGTGGATCATTCGATCGCCACAACCAGGAAAATAATGATCGTTCAGCTGCGACACTCTTGCGGCGCCTAGCTGCCACCAGAAGGAAGCACGAGGGCTGGGATACTGCCAGGTTGCCCAAGCCTAGACAGGGGAAGTCGAGAGGCCGAGGTTGGGTTCGAACCACGGAACTTCCGGTCAGTAAATTCGCGCTTTAGCCACTGAGCCATCTCGCTCCGCAACCAGGAAAGGTTCTTAGTCATTTTTCGAGGTATTAGGCTAACCAGCTAAGTTGCTCAAGTGTGAATACGTTTGCCTGTTCTTATCTGATCATTCAGTTGGGTCCACTGTACGTACTATCAACTCACCTTTCGCATCAGATGTCTGGGGTTCAAATCCCAGAATGACCAGTGATACGTACTGCTGATGAGTTTCGCTAAGAGCGCAATTCCACTCCGGCACTTTGCCCCACTTGGTGTAGATTCACGAGAATAATTGCAGCATCACGGGAATGGTGTGGGAGCAAACCACTGCTCATTGTTCCCCACATCAAATAGTCACACATGTTGACTGGCTCATCGAGCAACGATTAAGTGTTCAAACTACTAGCCAGGGGGCCGCGGGTTCGAGACTCTAGACTTTCGAGAAATGTGCACTGCTGATGGTGAGGATGAAACAGCTGTACAATGCTTCTACGCCCTACAGCCTAGATTGGTTTCACTTACGTGACGGAATATCCATTAAAATTCCCCAATCTCCTTACACTCCCAACAAACCCTTCCTTATCGGCATCCTGCTTTATCGGAGGACTCCCCATTCTTCCAGAATTCGTTAGATTTAGGGTTTACTCTCTGCGATTCTCTGCTATTCGGTCGCCTGCCAATAGCCCTGTTAGACTGTTTTGATGCTAAGGAACCTTGCCTGTTTGTTTTAAAATGACGCCGCGTTGAAGTGCATTTACCGATACGGACGCAACATACTACTCATAAGGTTGCTGAAATCGATCTCCTACTATAGTTTGCGTGCATATGCGAAATAGTGTGCTGATCTACGCTTATCCACGAACTTTTTGTACTGTGATCGAAATCTTCACGCGACTGCTATCGTGCATCAAATCTTAGCTCTGTTACCTTGAGCTACAGTTTAATCGTGTCGTTTTGATTAGATCTTGGCATAACTGGTATTGAATCTTGTCCGATCGCCAGTGTTCAGTCAATCAATCTGGCGTTAGGCTGTTAGCTGCGTACACTGACTCTAGCTGTCAGAGGTTTATGCTCCCGCCGTGGCAAAGTATATCCACATTGAAGTTGATAGTCCACAGCACTTCTGTCTTGATGCTGATTATGGGAAGTCGGATGCTAATACGGAGGAATAGATTTGTTTGCAGGGTTGAAAACAAGTACACATGGAAGGTGTGAGCTTTGGCACAGGGACATTAGTACCCGACTGATCTGTGGCCGTGTTTTTTGAGGAATCAACCTGCTGTGGTTTGAATATCACTTCCGTTTTGCCCGAGCCTGTAGACGTAAAGACCGCATGCTTGTTATATTACCTATTTTTTCAGGCACAAGCTTGAGTCAGCTTTAATAGGTTACGGGCGAAGATTCACAAAGTTTGGTGGAAATTTTCTTCCGATTGGGAAGTTGCGCTACTTGAGCGCAAACCATAATCAAGAAATACCCACGTGGTGTTGCTTTGTGTTTGTTCCGGTGCAGCCCTCACCGTATCTCTCGTTGTACATTTCTTTCTTTGTAGATTCTCATACCAATGCTCTGCTTGGGAGTCATCTATGCTGCTGTGCAACTGGCGAGCGTTCACAGTCTATCCAACCACTCGACAGGATTTCGTGAAAAAGGAACCCAAATCGCACAAACTGCCCTCTGTGTTATCATGTCGAACTTCATTGCGATTCACTTCTTTGTATGGTTGCGGGATGAGGGTAGTTGGCTGGATATTGGCACAAGTATCAGCCATTACGTGATAGCCATGGGTATTGGCTTTGTCTCTTTTCTGTTCTCGTCACTTGGACGTAAAATATTGTGCTTGAGTATCTCTGAGCCTTGTGTGGATGATCGAAACGGTGTGCGCAAATACATGTAACTTGTCGCGCCACTACCTTATGCGTTTCTGTGATAACACCTGTTTCTATTTTGTACCACCAAACCATATATTCCAACTAACTCCCAAATTGTTTGACTTCTCTCATATCCTTTTTTCGCTCGCACTCTGTGTTCTTTTATTTCGATTGGTTAGAAACAGCCAGTTAGTTTGAGCTTGACCGTAGCCCAGTTGTTTGGGCGCGAGATTACTGACCGGAAAGCCCGTGGTTCGAACCCTGCATCTCAACTGCTGTTGTCTGGGTAAACTGACGGTATCCCGGATCTTGTTCAGATATGTTACCCGAAGCAGGCGCGACTGTTGTTACTCTTTATTTTAGTGCTCAATATGACCCTTAGGTCAGGTTAAGCGACTGCCGTCGGGACTGAACTTTCATCCCCTGCCCGGGAACAACTAGATTGCGTAACAATCGAAAGGCTTAACGCGTTCCGAACATTTTTCCTCTGGTCAGATCGCATTCATTCGAACTGCAATCAAATGAACTCCGCGTTTTCCGAACTTTCAGACTGGCTGCAGAGGAAAAACTCAACATCATCAGTAATCTCGCATTGGCGGTCGCATGCAATTTCAAGCCTTTGACAAACCTTGTATTATAGTGCAGTAATAGAAATCGAATGCACTACGACCATCAAAATTTGAGACGTACCCGTCAAACACATCAATACACGAGATGAGTAGCAGATATCGTGATAGAAGAAACCATCGAATTTGAGTTCAAATCAATATTTGACGTAAATGAATGAAACGCAACAAGAGGCATACTTATCATTTCAAGTGACAACCCAAGAGTTACTCTCGGACTCACTAAATCGTGAAGTTGATGGACAAAATCAACATTGGTTATTAGCAATGGACTTGGTGTCAAATTTAATGTGGATGGGATAAAACATGATCAAGATGACTGAAAGCCCTTTGGAGGGTGACTGTCATATAGAGGATTAGGAGACTTGGTTCAACAGAGCTTGAGGTTACTTTCAGGCGTAGCCATGGAGGACACAAGCTCAGTTGTTAAAAAGCGGGATACGGTGAATGAATACTCAGCATATATGTTTATAGCGTGCGGAAGGGCTTTTTCGTCGGAACGAACCAAAGGCTGATGAGTTTAGAGGAAGCAAACTGAGAAAGGAGAGGTGCTTGCGATTTAGGGTAGAAACGGTCTGGCAAGCAGGAATGACGAGAACAAACGGGAGACTGGACGTTCAGTATGAAGTCCCATGAAGTGAAATCTCTCCTCCATTTTTAGCATATTTTTTCATGGAAGTAGATGAGAACTCCCTGTCCACCCGTATGACGATCACTAATGCAGAGATACCGTTCAACGAATGATTAAGTCCTAGCGACATGTGTCAACAGAGACACTTCATTCCATCCGTTTTCATTTCATACGCGGAAGGTCATCACAGTGTAATTAATGACGCAGCAGAGTGGGTAAGAGAATCTTTTTGGAGTCTCTTTCAGAATCAGACAAACTATGGCTGGATAAAAGCAGTAAAATCTGAAAGAGGTTATCAGAATAAGGTGAGACTCTTGGTCGTTGACACGTGTCTGGCTGATCTTGCCATTCGATAAACCAAATTAACTTCTGAGCATCTCCAACTAGTCCCGCAGCTAATCTAAATAGAAACTAGGCACCTTCCTGCTGGCTCCAGGGCATGACGAGCATATTCACGCTTTGTCCACGCCAGTTCTTCATCATTGATCAAATCACTAGCTAAAGATCCAGGACTTAACAAACATTTTTATCTCAACTCGTCTTGATACCACACGAGAGGTGCTGAGTCTATCTATGAAGAACAAACATACCGAAGTTTATCAGAGCAAAAGTTCTCGCCACCAAGAAAGCCGTCGGTATACGAATTCAGAAGGTTCGGGAGAGTTAAAGGGTTAATTATACACGCCCAAATGACCAGCAAGTGAAGTAGAGGGATGATGTGATCCTCATGTTTTGCGTTAGCTTCTGTCCAAACACGGAATTTCATCCTGACAGGTTGCTACGGCCTCTTAGTATCACCATGTCGTATACATCCGAATCTGAATATCAAATGTCGGCGACGTATTCCAAGTTTTTTATTCGCGTAACTCCATGTGAGTTTATGATTTGTAAGGCTGTATTCGCAAGTTGGGAATCAAAGGATCAAATATTGATCAGCTACAAGCCAGAATGTTTGAATGAGGTGACTGGTCATTGCTAGACTTACAACTTTTCCGCGCCATATGTTCGTTACGAAGTGGCTCGTGTCGGACTAATCGGTGTGCATCGTTTGACTGAGGTCTGTACCGGCAAACAGGCAGTTAGTATCCTATCCTGTGATGGTGCACATCACACGAGAATTCTGATAGTACGGATTCCTTGACTGAGGATAAGTTTGGTACTTATGGTGGGGCTGCAAAGCGGTCAGACCCTAATTGCATCAATTTTCGGTGGTACATTGCCAGACCTTCAAGACCGCTGAGGAAGTTGCGATCCATCAACTGCAGACGTGTACTACATGTATTCCCCACAATTTACGCAATGTGTACGTGAATCTCCAAGGCGACCAACTTCAATTTTCAAAACGACCACCTGTCCGGGTCTTCCGAGGCCACAATGGTTCTGTTGCGTAAAACATACTGTTCTCTAATCTTAATAGGACATTGTGACTGAGCTTGCCTGCACTGAAGATTTTAAGAACGGTTTGTCTTGCATACGGTGCTAAAAGAATGGTGAATTATTCGCCTAGGTTGAAACCTATGAGCACCTCTCAGGCATATTTTGTGCGATGGACTGGTTTGGGTTTGCGTTCGACTGAATACCCTTATGGTAGTTAATGTAATTCGGCAGAGATGCTGGCGATGGAGATCGATGTTGACAAAATAGTGAGGATGGTAGATGGATGAGTCGCAATGAAGTTAATTATATTTGTTGAGGTTCCCAAAGAGGGACTTTGATTCACCGATGGGTTTGACGAGCCGAAATATCAAAAGGGAGAAATGGGTTCAAAATTCTACGGTATTAATTACACAATGGCAATCAAATTTATGCGACAAACCTCAGTCGTCTACGTTCGTAGCGTCAACAAGCGCTCGAGCCTGTCACGAGCCAGCGTATTACGGTGTCAACGTCCGCACACGCGACAATGGCGAGTAGAATGTTGGCCCTGTAGTGTGTGCTGCGGTCATTCCTTCCTTCTACCATCTTGCGATTCTGTTTGGTGGTTCGATTACACGGAAATCATTATGGTGGTCTCAGCTAGCGGGACACGAACACGCCTAGGTCAGCTGCGCAGATTCACACATGCACATGGTTATATACCACTGTCGGACTGGACGGCTTATGCGGTACGTTGGTTTGTGGCTCCAGATGAACTTAAACAAGTAAGGTCAAGAGTACAGGTACAGAATAAGCAAATGAATGGAGAATTATCGGAAGATCAAGTTAGATTCAATAATGTCATCGTTTGAGTTCAATTTTCCAGAATATGATCTAATCTAATTGTTTGTTCCAATACATATCGTTTCATGTATAACCCTACCACGGGAAACAATCATTTGTAAATCACAACGAGTGCGATGAAAATTTGACAGATATAGGCTCAGTGCAGGCAACACTCGATGATTAATAATCACTGGGAGAGGAACATTAAGTATGCAACCTGATGCCGAAATATCAAAAGGGAGAAATGGGTTCAAAATTCTACGGTATTAATTACACAATGGCAATCAAATTTATGCGACAAACCTCAGTCGTCTACGTTCGTAGCGTCAACAAGCGCTCGAGCCTGTCACGAGCCAGCGGATTACGGTGTCAACGTCCGCACACGCGACAATGGCGAGTAGAATGTTGGCCCTGTAGTGTGTGCTGCGGTCATTCCTTCTGAGGACCATCTTGCGATTCTGTTTGGTGGTTCGATTACACGGAAATCATTATGGTGGTCTCAGCTAGCGGGACACGAACACGCCTAGGTCAGCTGCGCAGATTCACACATGCACATGGTTATATACCACTGTCGGACTGGACGGCTTATGCGGTACGTTGGTTTGTGGCTCCAGATGAACTTAAACAAGTAAGGTCAAGAGTACAGGTACAGAATAAGCAAATGAATGGAGAATTATCGGAAGATCAAGTTAGATTCAATAATGTCATCGTTTGAGTTCAATTTTCCAGAATATGATCTAATCTAATTGTTTGTTCCAATACATATCGTTTCATGTATAACCCTACCACGGGAAACAATCATTTGTAAATCACAACGAGTGCGATGAAAATTTGACAGATATAGGCTCAGTGCAGGCAACACTCGATGATTAATAATCACTGGGAGAGGAACATTAAGTATGCAACCTGATTCGCCTGCACGTGGTTACCCACATACGTGCATCTTTGAGACAGAACATTACATTCATTTTCAAGCTGTTTTAACGTTTATTGTTAGCTTTCATCGACTAGCTTCGGCGTGTGAGGAACATCTGAGTATAGGTTACCGAGCTTGTCTTGATTGTTCTTCTGAAACTTTGTGGAGACAGTTTAAGCTACTGTTGACTTACGCAGATGCAGCTGGTCTAAACGTCGGTCCATGATCTCACCATCATAGGTCCGACTTGGTTGCCTGAAAAGCACCGCAACGTGGCGGATCGTTCAGGTGTCTCCTGGTGCAGTTTGGTGTACATAGCGCCATATCTCATCCGTAACGGTTCAGTTTCTACCATTTGGCTGCCTTGTCTGGAAACGATCCAAGCTTTTTGGTAGGCCGACGTCTTTGGCCTATCACTTTGAACTTGCAAACAGATTTTACGAGTAGTCAGGTCAAGGAAACCATCACCAGGCGGAAGTAAGCATATCAGTTAAATCGTATCTCTCTGCAGTTCTGTGGAATGCGAGCAGCCTTTGCGCCGTATGAACTGTTTGCAAGAAGTGGTGCAATATTACACACGCGAGGATTTCAACCGCCAACCTCCGCATACAGTGAGGTAATAACACTGCTATTCAGGTAGGTGAATCAAAACGAAGCCTACTGAAACCCATTCCGAATTCTGTCCTAATGGCTTTGTCCTCCGATCCAACGCATTACTGTTGAGGTTGTGTGCAGACTTGTAGGCTAACACGTAATTAGGTTTG